AAGCTCAACAACAAGAACATATGCTGACCCCTCACAGGTGAGCCGGATGGAGCCCAAAGCAGTAATTATTAGTTCAATTTTGTTTTTTGCAATACTGATATTACAGAAAACTAGAAAAAAAATGAAAAAAGCCTCTAACTAATAACAATGTTTTATTGTGCGCTGTGAGCATCCAGACTCAGATATTACTGCAGTGTTTCTGTATATGTTTTGATGAAACAAGGCATTTGATCTAATAAATTAAAATAATTTTGGTCAAAATAATAAAGTAGAAGTATAAGGTAGGTGTTTCTAATAAAGTGGCCAGTGAGTGGAAGTACAAGGTAGATGGTTTTAATAAAGTGGCTTAGCAAGCTGGCATGCCAGGTTTGACTATTCCTGATGTTTCTGGAAAACTGGCTTCGCTAATGCATGATTCACTATGTTGGAGGAAGGCGTTCACGTGAGATCCACACATGGGGCGCTGTTGATTACAGCCAGGGCCTCAGAGGGCATAGGTAAGCATATATTTCCTGGACATTAATACTGATGAGATGCCCCCTTTAACACTGAAACTGAGAGTAGGGGAAAAAATAACAACAACAACAAGAACACATGCTGACCCCTCACAGGTGAGCCGGATGGAGCCCAAAGCAGTGGAGAAATCGCGTAAGACATCTGAGCTGAGCGTGCTGCCCAGAGCCCCAAATGAGTTTGTTTCAGTAACACTACTCTGTTCTGCAGAGCAGACAGCCAGTCTCACGTTAGACCGCCGCCGGACACGCGAGAGCGAAGAGCTGGACCCAAGAACTGCATTATCTCATCTTTAGCCACATCAGGACTTCTCAGTCTCAGACCCAGAGTGAGCCTGCAGTGCGGTTTAGTGCTTTCCCTGCTCTAGCATTTCAGTTAACGTGACCAGATTCCTGAAATGAAAACCGGGGGCATTTCCAGTTCGGCGGTCAATATATCATTAAAATACCTAATGTTTTTATCTATGAACTTAAAAAGCGTGGACAGTTCCAGTTTCGTGTATTTTGGCCATGTTAACTGTTGTAGTGTAATAAACTGCGGTGAAGGCCGACTGATAAAATTGAGTACTAAGTAATTTTGTAAACTGTGTTAGAAAATCACACAGTAGCCTCTCATGGTGAGTGAAGCTATGGAACACTAAAGAACACTCAATAAAGAAAAAAATGGTTTAATAGAGTTTATTTATCAATCAATCAATCAATCAACCTTTTATAGGCACAATAATACACTGTAAAAAGTGGCTCATCAGATCTACCTAAAAAAAATTACATCATGTAGTAAAAAGCAATTGAACTAGTTTTATTCAACTAAAAAAATGCTTTGATTGAAAGAATCGTTCATTCCAAGTATTTATTTAGGCGGAATAAAACTAGTTAATTTACTTGTTACCACATGAAGTAATTTGATCTGATCAGCCACTTTTTACAGTGTAGCAATAAAATATATAATGAAAACAAATAAGTGAGTGAAAGAATCAATAAGCTAACCAATAAGATAATAAGCAATAAAAAATCTAAAAATCTTAGAAATAAAAATATTTAATAAAATAGTAAAAATATAATTAAACAGTAAAAGAACTGACATCAAATAAAACAGTTGCAATAAAATAGTGATATAAAATAACATTAAATAGAGCAGAAAGGGACTAATGTTACATAAAAGGCATGCAGGTTGAGTGGATGTGGAGATTAAAAGTTTAAAATTATCCAGTGACACCAGTCACTGCATGAGCTCAGAAACACTTCTGAAAACCACTGTCTATGAAAACAGTTTGTCACTGCATCCACAAATGCTAATTAGAACTCTTAAACATAAGGAAGAAACCACATATGAACAGGATTCAGAAATGCTGCCGCCTTCTCTGGGTCTGAGCTCATTTAAAATGGACTGAGGCGAAGTGGAAAAGTGTCCTGTGGGTCCGACGAATCAACAATTTAAATTCTTTTTGTAAATCATGGACACTGTGTCCTCCGGGCTAAAGACCACTCAGCTTGTTATCAGTGCACAGTTCAAAAGCCAGTATTCATGATGGTATAGAGGTGCATTAGTTCACATGGCACACATGGAATGTGTTGTTGGCATCAAATTTAAAATGGGCATATATTTTAAAAAAATAAATACATTTCTCAGTTTCAACATTTGATATGTTGTCTTTGTACTATTTTCAATGAAATATAAGGTTTAAATGATTTGCATTTATTTACATGTTGCACAGTGTCCCAACTTTTTTGGAAATGGGGTTGTATTAGAGTTTACTGAACAACACACAAATTGGGGCAAATATGGGATGATTTAGGCTTGCACTTAACACCATGCTAACCTGGTACCTTTGAACTTCAGACATGCCTGATCGGTGTATATATGTTTATGCGTAGCTGTTGTCGGAACAAAACCTTGTATCTCCAAAATGGTAACTTTACAGGAGAAAGGAAAAACATACCTTACTTTTAATGGAAGTCAATGGAACCAGAATTTTTCCCAAGTAATTTTGTGCCTTTTCTTTTGGTCCAATTATCATGGTATTGACACACAATGTAAAGAGCAACAGGTGTTTTCAAATTATGTCAAAAACTGAAAAACAAGATACGAGGTTTTGTTCTGACAGCAGCGATATCCTGCTTGACTCCATTGGTGGTGAGTTGAAAATCGGGCCCATTTTTTTTTTCTCCAAAATATTCTTTAAAAAAGCTCCTCGTAAGTCTTACAGTAATGAAAACAGAAACCTTTGTAAAACTCCTGCAGGGGTGAAGCTGAGACCTACTGCACTACTTCATATTCAGGGGTAGAGTCTGGCTGATAGAGTTTCTCCCTTTCAGTTCCACTTTGCGGGGTAAGGGTCGATGGACCGTACGCCCAGATGATGCAAGAAGCGTGTGAAGACCGCGTTTCAGCGAAGAACAAAAGGTGCTTTATGACGATGCTCATAGTGACAGGGGTGTGGACACAAACACAGAGCCGTCCAATCAGCCTGACTGTGTGGAGGCTCAGTGTCACGTTACCGAAATATTACACAAGGCAAGAGGTGAGTAGGTGATCAATCAGCAATTACAAAGAGGCCATCGAGTTATATTTTCACAATTAAGTGGCAAATAAACTACAGTAGACGCTCTGAGACACTCCAGTTCATTCAAAGTTTAGCTCACTTTCTTCAAATAAAGGACTTTGATGTAGAACATGAACACTGCTTCAGTTTTAAAACATATCTCTCACTCCCCAGTTCAGGTGGTCCATCTCAGCTGCAAAGACAGCCTATTTAAATTCACTGTTTCAACACATTTACATAAACCTACCGGCCACTTCGTTATGTCCACCTCCTTGTATCTACACTCATGGTCCATTTTATCAGGCCCACTGACTGTATAGGAGCACTTTGTAGTTCTACAGTTACAGACTGTAGTCCATCTGTTTCTCTGCACACTTTTATTACCCTTTTCTTTAATGGTCAGGACCCCCATAGGACCACCACAGAGCAGGTATTAGTGTGGATCGAGTGGATCAGACACAGCAGTGCTACTTGAGTTTTTAAACACTCACTGTCCACTCTACTGGACACTTCTACCTTGTCAGTCCACCTTGTAGATGTAAAGTCAGAGACGATAGCTCATCTGCTGCTGCACCGTTTGTGTTGGTCATCCTCTAGTCCTTCATCAGTGGTCACATGACGCTGTCCACAGGACGCTGTTGGCTGGATGTTTTTGGTTTTCAGTAAAACACTGAGGTGTTCAAAAACTCCAGCAGCACTGCTGTGTCTGAAAACTCTGATAACTTTGATCACTGTCATGACAGTCTTACTGTCCCATCCCTAATATCAACACTGCATTAATACTGCACTCACATGCAGATCAGTGTTTCAGCGTAAATAGTATTATTACCTTTTATCGTAGTGTACAACATTATCACAATACTGCATTTTAGAAATCAAAAATATACATAAATAAACAATGTTTAAAAATGTTTTTAATCTTGTAAAGATATGTTCTGAATATAATTTTTAAACAGCGACATATATGTGCAATATTTACATTAAAATAATCATCACTCTATTAGTACTATTAGTAGTTGGGACTGGAGCTGAGGACCCTGTCATAGAACACTGCTCCAACATAAGATATAACTTGGAACATCCAACTAGAACCTGTACTTTATCAACAAAAGTGGCAAATACCAAATAAACTCATTTATCATTTAATCACCATTAACATGCCATAGCAGTCAGTGCTTAATGTGGAAACCTTTACTTTACTCGTAGCCTGTTTACCAAACACACTCATGACGAGAATGCTAATTTCTGCTAGCGGGGAAATGAGATTCTCCATTATATAATAGCATCAATCTAATGACGGTGGAGTTTTTTTCCCACAGGGTTCAGTACTAATATAGTTCGAGTCTACATACAGACTGCGGACAAACAAAGCTGGTAATTCGGGTAACTTCTTACTTTGTATGTTGTAGACATACAGTGAGAATCATTCAGTAAATATTTCAATATAATGCCAAACTACTGGATTCACCTGTTAGCACATCAGAAGTCCGCAGAACTGCTTAGGATAAGTCAGAGATGCTTTTGTGCCTTTTACGTCATACTTACAAAGTTTGTGATTTAAGCGTATTGTGCTCCTCCTTCTGCCGTGCTGTGGCTGCTGTGATTGTTTAGAAGCGTCGCTCAGAGGAAGAGCTATTTAACGTGATCAGAGCGTGAGGTCGAAGTGGGAGTTAATGAAAGCAGAGCTGCTCTTCATGCTCAAGAAATCTCAGGTGAAACTTCAGCTTGTCTGACCAAATCGCAGTGTTTACGATAACGTTACCGTGTGTGTTCAATATCGCTGTATACCGAGTTACTAAATACTGGCACATGTCTAATAAATAGTTCTTCTTCATCAAGCACAAGCAATAAAAACTCACTCAACACATCAGTCTAAATAAAACTCATTTATTGTCATTAATATCGTTCTACCTAGAGCAAGAAGAAAAGAAAAGGAAAAAAAAAAAAGAAGTTATATCAGGTCCACCACGCCACTTCTGTACGGCGGTGCATAGACACCAGACTGGGGTCTGAATACTGACAGACAGACAGACAGACAGACCAACGAGGAGGGAGGGGCGGGGCCTAATCTGCTCTTCGCTCTCCATGCTTAGATTAAAGGAGGGAGGGGTCAGAGTATTGAGGAAGGGGGGGGCGTTACATTCGGGGGAATATTCCTTTCAGTTTCTCACTTAGATAAAGGGGGAGTGGGGCATCTTCATGACCTTCGAGGCCTGTTTCAGGAGGCAGACCAACCCTGACTGACACGGAGAGAGACGGCGCGCCTGTGTGTGTGTGGTTGTGGTTGTGTGTGTACGAGTGTATGCAGGACTGGGCGACTCCAAAAAAAGGTGTTAACTGGTCAACGCTGCTTTGATCCACCTTCCACTGTACACTTTAAGAGGTTTCTGCCACGAGGGGTTAAAAGTTGAGGTAACACGTTCTGTTCATATTTCTGAAAGATAAAAAAAAATGGCAGGAAATATAAAATTAGTAAACAATAAGCATCAAGTTTATAGTGAAGGCTAAGTAAATAAATAAATACTAAAACACACAATCTTGGATCTTGTAACTAAACCCTTAAGGCCAATTTACAGTCCAGGCAACAAGCGTAACAATAAGTTACCCTTTATCAGTCCCACAACGGGGAAATTCACCTCCGCATTTAACCCACCTGTGCAGTGAAACACCACATACACACTAGTGAACGCACGCACACTAGGGGGCAGTAAGCACACTTGCCCAGAGCAGTGGGCAGCCCTATCCACAGCACCTGGGGAGCAGTTGGGGGTTAGGTGTCTTGCTCAAGGGCACTTCAGTCACATACTGTCGACTCAGGGGATCAAGCTGGCCACCTTCCGGTCACAAGGCCAGTTCCCTAACCTCCAGCCCATGATTGCCCCAAATAGTCATGAGTCACGCCACACAGAAGCGACTGACCCCAAAGTGATTTGAACACGCAGCCTTCTGATCTGGAGTCAGATGCGCTACCGTTGTGCCACGAGGTCCTTGTTAAAATGATGTAAAAGAGACAAAATTTCCATCTGGGGTGTCGCAGACCTTGTATATCAAAAAATCTGTAAGGGCGCAGACGCTGTCGTGCACTCTGATTGGATAGAAACTCAAAGTTCTACGTTCTAGACTGTTGCCGTGGTCACTGTGTGCGGCTGTGTGGCGTGTTTACCTTCTTGCTGCTCTGCCGCTGTCAGAAACAGAACAGGTTGCCAGCCATTCAGAACCACGATCAATATATATTCATAAGACGATTTGTTTTCATTTTCAAACGTTTCTCAGCGACTGCGATTACTTTAAAAGACAGTCCAGGCAGAAAACACATCCCACGACAGTGTAATTTCCCCCCGCACTGCACTTTCAGACTAACCAGAATTTTGTGAATCTGGCAACCCTGAATGACAGAGAAAAACTCCCAATTGAAACATACACGTGTGTGGAAAACAAGTAGTATTTCTGTTTGCTGTATTGATCCCGCAGCTTTAAATCCCTACTGTTAATGCAGTTTCACTGTAGCAGCTGTTTTCAGCAGCTGCATCGTCATACAGGTTTTCATAGGAACTACAGATGAAGTTGATTCTGACATTTTGTCACCGGCGCAGGATTATGAAAGCCTACAGTGCTGCGACATCTCTTGACATCTTGTTTTTTTGTCGAGCAAAACTTGTTACCTTGGCTGTAAATTGGCCTTTAGAATTCGTAGTTATTACTGATAAGAGAAGCTTGCAATATCATACAAACTATTGCTAAGCTCAATGAAATAAGTTTGTGAAAAGTGCAGATTCTTACGTTTGAGTTTGTAAGTAGAAGAGGAGATATTTTATAATCATCTGAACTTGATGAAAAGTTACTGTATTGTTTTGCAGAAAGAAAAACCCTCTAACATTTTTGCCATGTTTCCATTTTTTTTTACATTTAAATAAATGTTGAAAATCTGTGGATATGGAAGATAAATTTAATGTAATTTAAATTACTATGTAGTTAATTATGTAACTATGTTTTAGCCCCTTTAAAATCACAGGCTTGTTACATCTTAAAGCTCCGACCCACCGGCAGGTCCTGGAAATTTATGGAGGTAAACTGTAAAAAAAAATTTTTAGTTTTAAAGTTTTAAACAGTTTTAAAACTATTTCTGGGCAGCAAGTGTGTTTATATCTTTATGAACATAATGTAAACAAACTGAATGCAATAAAAAGTAATAAGATTTTTTTTTTCAAAGCTGTTTAGAACACAGAACACAGGTTTGGCTCCAAATTTCTCCCCGATGCTCCCAGTCCTCACATAGTTTTGTTCAGTTCACCAACAGCACACCTGATTTAACATAATGAAGTACTGATTAGCCAAACCAGGTACTGGATGATGACTACAAATAATACTGGGGTGCCGTGAGGAGATGTTTGAACCACAAAGACATACATAAAACCACTGCTTATTGTATTAATATTGTTTGTATTTCTTTTGTAATATTAGTGTTTTTTTTCAAACAAATAAAACACTTACTGCCCAGAAAAACAGCTCCTTTAATCAAATTTTCTCAGGTGCCTTAAACATTTGCACAATACTGTGCAGTTAAACAGTACAGCAAAACAACAACAACAACAACAACAACAACAACAACACTTTTAAGGGAGTTAAAGGTGTGATGTTTTTGCAGGTTACCTGATTTCACCGAGCTGCATTAGATCCTCCTGATCCTACAGTGCTGTCTGCATTAGTGAGAGACTGTTCCTTCAACACTGGATCTAAAGAGAAATCAAAGCAGTGTGGGTCACATCCTGACCTGCTCAATCTGCTTGTATAATTCTTGCATGGTTTTCATCAAACGGTGTCCTCTCTGTGGCTCATACATCACAAGTTTTTGTAAAGGCAGGACACTGATATTAATATGAAGCAACTACCATACTGAGCTATTCTGACTCTGATTCAGCCTTTCCCTACTGGCCAATGGCTAACGTCCCTCCTGCAGGTCAAGGCAGCTATTGTTTCTCATTCAAACCCTATATGCCTGTCAACACTGAAGTAATTACGGTTGATTCTCCTGGACCAGAACTAGAGCAACACCAAATGAAGTCTGAAGATGGGCTGGCAGAAGAGAAGCGATGTTACAAACATTTATACAACCTATCCACAAACAGCGCAGTGAGTATTAAAAAGAAACGTGAGAACTTCCTCTTCGTCTTCTGCACATTCTGGTTTGCACACTGCCGCCTAGTGCCCACGTTCACATTGGGTGCAAATATCTGGGCAGACACCAATGTGAACGTCAGCACACGACATCTGCACACGTTCACCGAACACAGAGCAGACACAGTATAAATCAGCCTCAACACACAAGGCTAAGATGTGGTAACTCACAGAAGTAGGGGTGCTCCATGGCTTCTGTGGCAGTCAGTCTCTGCTGATGGTCATAGCGCAGCAGTTTGTCCAGCAGGTCCAGAGCCTCAGGACTGACCAGGTGCTGATTTTCCGTCTGGACAAACTGCTCCCAGCGCTTCCGCGTTTGCCTACAGTAAAAAGAAAGAGCATGTCCAGTTTAAACCACACAATATTGGGTTTACAATCACACACGACAGCTGTGCTCAGTCCCAGTCTCCTGGACTGATTATGAACTGCAATTTACAGTTTGAACAATTTAGTGTTTTTTCTAACACATATGATTCAGCTTTATGGTGTCCCACACGGCTCAGCCTTAGGCCCCCTACTGTGTTGACTTCATTGGTAGATCTGGGTGCGATTTAGTATGAAAAAGGCTAAACTGGACTGTGCAGAGGCCATTCGGGACAGAGAGCCACCACTGTAAGGAGTAATAGCAGAAATAGTAGCAATGACACAATAAGTGTAATAATACTTTATGTTGTAATAATACTAGACTGGATTCAGTCATTTTTTCCCCTCTGATGTCAGATTCAGCATTTTCTGTTGGCAAAACCCATCAATACCAATATTCCAACTACAATAATAATAATAATAATAATAATAATAATAATAATAATTATGGCAGTTCTTAAAAACAGGTTTATAAGATTAAAACATGCAGGCAGAAATACAAAAACAATACAAGGAAAAAATTACAGCCAATAAAAACCAAATACAAAATATAACTATAGGAACGAACTGCAACATCAGATTAATGCATTTTAAGAAAATTCAAAGGTCAATCACGCTCTCTCTTCTGCATATGTACTGCAGTTTAACTCCACATCATATTTTTGTAGCTCTTTTTAGACACAGCTACTGTAACAAAGTCACCCTGGTGGTCCTGAATCTAAACAGTGGACTGTCCTGTCTTGCAGTTTCAACTTTAAATCCTTGCAGCTGAATCATTTCACATCTTGCACTACATGTTCACAGTTACCCATAATGGTATCCTATAACCCGACACTGAAACTAAGTCCTACTATGACTCAGCCCTTCTCCATCTGACCCCCCAGCTGAAAGAACACAAAAACAGCACCCAAGGCGCCCCCTGTTGGTACTCACTGGCCCAGCAGGTCCTTAAATCGAGGGTCCAGTTCGATGTGGTATTTGCGCAGATAGCCGAAGAGCTCGTCTGTGCCGAGAACTTTGGCGATCCTGACCAACTGCAGGGAAAGCAAAACATCAGCCAATCGCCATATAATTACCATCACGGAGCTCATGCCATGTTTATATTAGTCCATGTAGGAAACCAACTGGACTCATTATATCACATCACAGTCGTTATATCACATGTGAACTGACACCTATATAAGCTTTTTAAATAGTTCGGTCATCAAGGTTAAAATCAGGATCAGAAACATTTTAATTGGCAAGCATTTCAAGAATTTACCTGGGCAGTTTGGTGTGTGACAGCCGACATGCAAGAACAAGTCTTAGAATAGAGTCTATATCACTCATGTTCACTGCACAGCCCTGTCTCTAGCGCCTGCAGGAGCAGCTGCTGGTCACTCACCTGATCATAATTGTCTTGGCCGTGAAAGAATGGCTCTTTCTGAAAGATCATACTGGCCAGCATGCAGCCCAGACTCCACATGTCCAAACTGTAGTCATACATCTGTGTGAGCAAAAAAACCCATAAATACACATATTTATTTATTTTATAGCATACTGCTCCAGCCTGATTCATTTTCTGAAAATAAATGTTTTGATATTAAAGGCAATAGAAACTGTATGACAATCATTTCAGAAAATAAATTGTGGACATAGATGGGAACAGATAAGCAAAGCAAAGGAATATTTTTTTCTTTTATTATTACTATAAAGCAAAAAAGGAAAGAAAATCAATTTAGCATTTGACCATCACTAGAGTTTAAATGGAATTCCTAAATTTCTGCATTACTAAATGGTTGAGATGTAAACATAATTCAGAGCGGTTTGGTGTAAAAATGCTCTTTTTTTAGAGGAACTTACTGAGTCAGAATTGTTCACAGTGGTGGTGATAGGAACCAGACGTCTGAAGAGTTCAATGGCTCCAAAAAAGCTCCCTCACAGAAAGTTATAACATGAAATTACGGTGCCTATTTTTTTCAATACATTCAGGGTGGACAGGTACATACAGGGAACTGTCCCCCAACAGAACATATATAAACACAGAAGACATATGTACATTCACTGGGTGGTTAATATGATGGCTATATTTGTGTTGTGGACCTCGTGACCCCTGGTTCCCATCACCACCACTGTAAAGACATCTGAGTCTGTAAGTTTCTCTAAAATGAACCATCTCACATCAAACCACAGTGACTGACTGTTTACACCATAATGAATAATTATACAGAAATTTTATGAAAAAGAAATCAGTGGAATTCTCCTGAAACCTGTCAGATTATCCATGCAGAACTGACCTGGTAATCCACCAGCAGCTCTGGACCCTTGAAGTAGCGGGACGCCACTCTGACGTTGTATTCTTGTGCGGGGTGGTAGAACTCGGCCAAACCCCAATCTATCAGTCTCAGCTGCTCTCACACACACATGCACACAGCGTAAGGTACCCGTATTAAAGAAAGCGATGCCAGAAACAGAACATGAGGCTCATGAAACAAAGATTTGACTCCATACTGCCACCTGGTGGACAGTAAACATCATGACCTTATTTTAACAGCTGAATTTTGGCACAGAAAACATCGAGCTAATACATCTAACTAAACATCTGGCTAATATGGGGGGAAGAAGTACTGACTGCAACCAGGAATACACTAATAAACTGCCTCCAACCAAAAAATGCTAAAAACAATGTTTAATAGAGCATTTTGAAACATTTGACAGGTGTTAAACACCAAATGACCGAACCTTCCTCAGCTGGTGGTCAATCATCACGTTGTGGGGCTTCACATCACGATGCATGATACCCATACTGTGGCAGTAGTCCAGGGCCTGAGACACACATAAACACACTTTAAACCTTTTAAACTCACACAAAGCTGTAGCGATTACTCAGGTTCAATACACATATATATATAATGTTTCTATAATTTGCAATTTGCAGGATGATAATGCATGTTTAATATTCTCCTACAGATCTCAGTTACAGTAAGAAACAGTCTGATACACCCTAAAATTGATATGCATATAAAATATGCCACATATTTTTTTTAAGTCTTTATAAAGGCTCCTTGTTCATCTTTATCCAGTAACGTATTCTGGAATCTCAGAAAGGCTCTGCATGGCTCGTCACTGCTCTGTTAAAGGAATAGTTCATCAAAAAACTTTACCCAATTTTCCTCTTTCCCCAGATGTAGTCGATCAGCCAAGACGTTTGCAGTCCAAATTTTGTTTGTTTTGTTAGGAACTGGAGCTGTGAGCATTCGGCAGCTAACAAACACTAGAACTCAATAGTCATCAAAATTGCTTCTGTAAAAATACATCATCAAAACTTGTCTAAACTTGGTTTAGGACACTTATGACTTACTCTGAGCTATAAACATGAACTAAACTGGGGGGGCTGCTATTGTAAACTGCAGGATCTGCATTCATCTGTGACAATGACGATCATAAAAAACAGAGGAATCTGATCTAAGATCAGGCCTACTTAGTGAATATCAGCCCTGGTGTTTTGTTCATTTTTATAGTTCACAGGAAGTCGTGCTGTGCTCTAAACTACATCAGCAAGTCTATGCGATGTCAAAATCTGTTAATCTGAAGAGCTGGATGTGGTTTGAGTGGGCTGAGATAAGTTTCGGTCATGTATTTTTACAGAAAACATTTGGGCTGTCTGGGTGACTATTGAGTTCCAGGGTTTGTTAGCAACATTAGCTTTGTAGCTCCAGTTCTGAACTAAAGAAGCAAAATTTGGACTCCCAACATGTCCTGGCCCATTACATCTGGGGCAAGCAGAAAATTGGTTACATTTGATTTTTGTTGAACTATTCTTTTATTGTTAAGTCTTTAAAAATAAATTAATTAATGAATTAATAATTGAATGAATGAATGAATATTTATAGGTTTTATCTTCTCTGCACTGACCTGGTCCTACATTTTTTCCATAATCACCTCCACAGGTAAGACACAAGACATGACAACGTAGTGGCAAAAATGTTCTGAGAATTGCTGGAGCAGCCAGTTATGCTCAAGGCTGAGATATGATGGTGGATTATGACTGTAATAAGTGTTTTGAGAATCTGGCCTCAGAATACAAAGCAGGAAAGCTCCTTTCTTACCTTTAGTAGTTCATACATGTAAAAGCGTATATCAAAATCCGTTAACTTCTGGTACAGCTCCTAAAAAAGGGACGAGAAAAGCGCAGCTGTCAAAGAAATATCTGCAGTTACACATATGAAGAGGAGGATTTCCCAGTTTACAGGCAACAAATCCCTAAATGTGTGATTTCAATGGCACAATGAAGTGAAGTAAAGTAAAGTGAAATCCTCCCTTAGTGCTCTCTCCCTCCTCTTAGAGCTAATTCGGTAGCAGGAATTCCACAACGGAGCTTTAATGGAACTTTTTCTTTTTGCTGGATGAAACTGATAAAATTCAGTATCGTACCATTCTACAAACATATGACGGTGTCAGGTATTCAGTATCACAGCATCGTCTGAAGCACCCATTAAATGACATACAAAGCAGTTAACTAAGTTTGTTCTCTATCAGTAACACTAAAAATAAAAAATAAATCAATACTGGTGGGTGACACCAATGCTGTACACACTACTGTACAGATGATGTTGCCCAGAACTAGAAAAACTCCAACGTTATTGACGTTATTGATTGTAAAAGTGTACTGAAATTGTGAAAGTGTGTCTACCTTAAAATCAGTGTTATTAATGCATTCAAAGACGAGCGCGGGCGTTCGAGACTGCAGGCAGATCAGGATGAGAGAGAGAGAGAGAGAGAGAGAGAGAGAGAGAGAGAGAGAGAGAGAGAAGGAAAAACAATCATTAGAGCAGATATGTTTAAATCAAAACTGCAACTATATACATCACTGTTCAAAAGTCTGGAAACACTGTGTTTTCAGTAATATTAAACTAACTGTGTTGCAAATACATGTAGAAACTAATTCTGATAAGATCTGTTACTCCACAACTTTATAGGTTTCAACTCATTAGTAGGAAGCAGTAAAGCGTAGAAATGTTTCTGTGTTCAGAATGACGAGCCGTAAGAAACTGACTGAGAAAGCTGTAGAACAGTGAGAATGAAGTATTACAGAGTCTGATGTAGGATGTTAACATTCTGAAAGTTTGACAATGTAGCGTTCCCTCCAAACCCCTACAGTCCCTGTATGAAAACTAAGCTATAAAAACAGCCTACTTTGAATTTACTGATTTTGTGAACATCAATGCATTTATATAAATATAAATATATAATATGTATATGATATTTTATCATTACATGATAAATTCCATCTCAATATATATATATGTTTGTGTGTGGACCCTCACAGAGCAGGTACTATTTGGGTGGTGGATCATTCTCACCACTGCAGTAACACTGACGTGATGGTTGTGTGTTAGTGTGTGTTGCGCTGGTCTGAGTGGATCAGACACAGCAGTGCTGCTGGAGTTTTTAAACACTGTGTCCACTCACTGTCCACTCTATTAGACACTCCTACCTTGTCAGTCCACCTTGTAGATGTAAAGTCAGAGACGATAACTCATCTGCTGCTGCATAGTTTGTGTCGGTCATCCTCTAGTCCTTCATCAGTGGTCACAGGATGCTGCCCACAGGATGCGGTTGGCTGGATATTTTTGTTTGGTGGACTATTCTCAGTCCAGCAGTGACACTGAGGTGTTTAAAAACTCCAGCAGCACTGCTGTGTCTGATCCACTCAGACCAGCGCAACACACACTAACACACCACCACCACGTCAGTGTTACTGCAGTGCTGAGAATGATCCACCACCCAAACAGTACCTGCTCTGTGAGGGTCCATGGGGGGTCCTGACTACTGAAGAACAGGGTAAAAGGGGGCTAACAAAGTATCAGAGAAACAGATGGACTACAGTCTGTAACTGTAGAACTACAAAGTGCACCTATATAATAAGTGGAGCTGATAAAATGGACAATGAGTGTAGAAACAAGGAGGTGGTCATCATGTTATGCCTGATTGGTGTACATCAGTCTTAAAGGCACAGTAACAAAAGCAGCCAGTTCAATTTCAAAGGATAAAGAAAGGCTGCATAAAAATTCATTATGATCATTTTTGGTACATAAAAGCACATCGATGTTCTATGTGGACCTTGATATTTGCAGCAAACAAAACATCATTTATTCAAAACATTTTGTAAAGCTAGGTGTCTGAACTTTAGATGGGAGGTCCATATACACTTGTAATTTCTAAGGTTAATTCAGTGCAGCTGTGCCACTGAAACCCAGCCTAACTGCTTCCTGCCTTAAATCAGCCTCAGATTCCCAGCTGCAGCTCTGAGGCAGAAAGGCTCGTTTATCTCCCGTGGTTTCGCTCACCCACCCAGAAGAGAAGCCCCTTTTCACACAAAGCGAATCAGCTCCTCCTGGAGGAAACTGAAGCGCTCTGATTGGTCGAGTCATTTAGGTGGCAGCAGTTGCAGCCAGCGGAGAAACAGGACCACTGGAGAGGAAACTAAACACAGAGCCGCAGAACCACAGAACGACATACCACTGGGTCCTTCACAGTGTCCACCAGCCGGATGATGTTGGTTCCCCCTCGCAGGTTCTCCAAAATCTTTATTTCTCGCTTGATCTTCTTCTTCTTGACAGGCTACAGCAGAGAGCGAGGACAAAAGCAACATATCATAACTGCACAAAGAAAATAAACAAATTAGTACCATAATAAGAAAATCTCATTTTTTTCATTTTTAGTTTGGACGCAATAGAAACTCCTCAGTCCACACATGGAAATAAGCTGCAAATCAGCCCATTTGGAGTTCACTGTTTTTGTGATGTCACAAAAACCTACATATGTATCTACATCTGCCTATTCAGCCGACTGCAGTTTAGCCCCGCCCATTCAGGCTGAAGTTATAAGAGGTGTTTCAGCTTGGATTGCTCTGCATGAGGCATCATACAGGCCAACCAATCAAAACAGAGGTCATTTACATATATCACTCCAAAAGGCACAGTAAGAAAAGCGGCCCATTTAATTCTAAGGGATAAAGAGAGTTTGGAAAATGGTCATATAAAAACGAATATATTAAGTTAAGTATCAGATCTTAAGAACATTTTTTATCCTATAAAATGTGTATCTTATTTTTTCTTACTGTTACGGTTTAGGAGATGCAAGGTTTTCTTTCAACAGCAATGGTATGTTAGCCATACTAAGTGAAACAGGATGTAGTCACTGCACTGTTGGAACAATAACCGTTTTTTTTTGTTTTTTTTTACATATCGCTGTTGTTGGAAGAAAATCTCACATCTCCATTTCTGATGTTTTTCAGTTTTTGACATAATCTGAAATGCCTGTTGCCCTTTACATTGCATCAAAATTTCATGATGAAGGGACCAAAAGAAATGACCCCAAATGACTTGGAAAAAAGTCTGGTTCCACTGACTTACATTAAAACTAAAGTAGGTTTTTCTTTCTCCTGCAAAGTTACTATTTTGGAGATATGAGGTTTTCTCCCGACAACAGCGATATTTTACATATTTTTTTAAACGCCACCTGTCCATTGTGTTACATTAGAACAAAAATGGAATGGTCCAAAATTACTTAAATTCAAATCTTTGTACTTTAACATACATTAAAATCTAAGCAGCAGTTTTGGAGAGATGAGGTTTTCTTAGAAGTGCGATATACAGTTGTATGCAAAAGTTCAAACATCCCTGTCAGATGACACGTTTCGGTGGTTTTCTAAGTGAAAATTAGTTAACACGACCTCTACAGAGAACACTTAAATATTTACCGCAAAATTTTAGCGCACAATTTCTATTTATTTGCTGAGTTTAATATATTGGAAAAAAATAAAAAGAAAATATTAAATGTGTCATAACTTCTGCACAGGCCACATATAATGCCCCCCCACCCCAATTCCCCCCAATAAATTCAGCAAATAAATAATAACTGTGCATTAAAATGTGTAGAAATGTGTTCTCTGTAGATGTTTTAACTCTTTCACTCAGAAGATCAACAGAATGTGTCATTCAAACAGGGGCACCCAAACTTTTGCACACAATGTGCATGTACGACTATACGGATTAAAACAAAATTGAAAAATAAAGATAAATCCTAATGTTAAAATTGTCTTCAGACAGGCTGCCATACCTGATAACAGCCTATATGATGACCAAACCCAGCGTATGGCTCAGGAGTTACAGCTGACTTTAAATTTAAATGTTAAAATGATGCAGTTAGATTTTATACACACTGAACTGAATTTACTTCCTCAATTCACCTGAATCACCTGGAATTCTTACTTTTTTAAAAGTCTCCTAAACTGGATTTAATCCCTGAAACAGCTGATGAAAAACAGCAGATTTTTTAGACTTAATCCAATCATGAATAACGTGCCACATTATCAGCTGCACTGAACCAGAGCTCAGCCAGGCCTGAGCCCGGATTGGTCATGAGGTGAGAGCTTCACAGATAAAGTTCAAAAATCAATAGACTTAAGTTAAAAATGAGAGCACAAGTAACTGTATTCAATTTTTCCTCATAAACATACACACACACACACACACACGCACACACACACGCACACACACACGCACACACACACGCACACACACGCACGCACACGCACACACACACACACACACAAACATGCATTAGGGCTGCTAAGTAGATCATTTGTTGATTGAGAAGATTTAGACTTTGGTAATATTGCTGTTGCAAAGGGCTGTAATATGCAAATGAGCCTCTGACCAATCACAGTGTTTTTACTGTGTGCTGTGAGCATCCTGACCAACCACAATTACAGACGGGTGTTTTGATTAGTCAGGATATTCATGTGATCAAACAAAAGTAAATCATTTTGGTCATGGCAATCTTTAAAGGGGAATTCCACCCATTTTTTCAACATTTCTGCATATTTAAATGGTTTGGATGTAAACAAAATCATTCAGAAAGGTTTAGGGTGAAATGTTCTGTCCTAGAGAACCTTACAGAGTTACAACTGCTCACAGTGGTGGTGACAGGAACCAGACATCTGAAGAGTTTAATGCCTCTAAAAGCTCACTATCAGAAAAAAATACATTAAATAGTTACGATGCCTGAGTCATTGTTTTATGCAAGCTTTGCGAAGATTTTGGCCTAAAATATATATTTTTAAAATACATTCATGGTGGAGAGGTATATACAGGGTATTGTGAAGCAAAATAACCCACAAAGAAAACTTATTTTTCCAGATTTATGACTATTTTGCCATCAACAAAATAACATAAAAACAGAAGATACATGAAGGTTCACTGGTAGCTCTCGATAGTAAATAAAATGTCTATATTTGCATGGTAGACATCTTGACTCACTGGTTCCCATCACCACCACTGTAAAGAAATCTATAGACTCTATAAGTTTCTCTAAAATGAACCACTTCACATCAAACCACTCTGAATGACATTTACACCTCAACATTTGAGCTTTGCAGAAATTTTGAAAGATTAGTGTGATTCCCCTTTAACCTCACCTTATTAATGATTCACCAATGCAATACAATCACAATACTGATATACTGTCCATATCACGCAGCCCTAACACTGAAGTGCGGTGTGCATGTTTTCAGTGATCCTCACCTTCAGGATCTTCACCACCACTTTCTCGTTGTTGTTGATGTTTATCGCCTCAAACACCTCGCTGTACTTCCCCCGGCCGAGCTTTCGCACCAGCTGGTAGTCTTCCTGGTTACTGCAGGAGAGAAAGAGACAAGATAACAAAAAAAAACAACAACAACAACAACAACAGCAGCAGCAGAAAGCCGCCAGTTTTGATTAGCTGTTCTTAAAAGCCTCATCACTCCACACACAAGAAGCCCCTGCAAACCAGACAGGAGATGAAACGCATCCGTCCATCTGCAAAGAGGCCAAACCCGTCTTTTAGTCACTCAGCCAGCGAGTGAGCGACACTTCCAACCACACGCACAACCAAACGCAGCATTTTAAGTGCCAGTCCGCTGCCTGACAGACCACTGCCTGACCATAATAATGGAGGTCAGAGCCACCATTCTGTCGTTCTAGTGCGTCCAAATGACCCACCCAGCCTGTCCAACCACACAGCAATTCATTTCACCCACTCTTACTAGAGATGTGCAATTTAGAGCAAGTAATAGCCAGAGAATCCCTTTCCTTTCATTGGTGGCTAATTTACTCACATCTATTGTTACACACAAAAATATCTTCAAGCACTTTTTTGGGAATAAAAAACGAATGTACACAATTTCCCTCCTTATTCCAAATGTTGTCAATCAGCCAAGACATGTTTGGTGTCTTTAGTCTTCTTGTTTAGTTCTGCACTGGAACTACAAGGCTAATGTAGCTAATGGAAGCTTATATGGCACCATTTAGCCTGGTGCTAACTCCATGTCAGTACACAGTCGCCTCAAACCGTGTGGAGTTGTTAAGTAAACTCTAACAGGCCTGATTACATGGTTTCTGTCAGTGTGTGACACACTGTTATCTATAACCCTAATACACTAAAACTGGACTATTACTCAATCTGATGTAAACATGCTAACTCTCATCCTGCAGTGGTGCCACAGCAGCCTTTAGTGTGAGATTTTTCTGTTTAAAGATTAGAATAACCCATTTCTGATTATGCATCTTGATCGTAGAAGAAACTTTTGAATAAGAAAACTGCTTTAGGGTGGATTTTCGAGATCGTCGTCGCTGCAGAACCAAAGGTCCAGGGGGTATGGCTGGATCTGATCCAACTCGTCCTATGTCGTGTTTTAATTGGTCTGAACTAAATCAGACTCCGCCCTGCCCCACTATACATGCCCGTCAGATTAAAGTAAAATGTAATCAAGTGCGAATGTGAAAGTCAGTACAGAACACACAATTTCTCTCTCTTATGAAATTCCAGGATTTAGTTGATAAACACAGTTATGTGGGTTATTTTGACCGGTCAAATGTCCATTCTAGTGTTTAAAAACGTTCAGCGTTCTCAACTAGAACCTGTCTATCAGAAGTACTTTGAGATGCAGGCCTACAGAACGGACTTTGTACCGGATGTGAAAAAAGCTTTTCGAGTTTTGACGAATGAGCGTGAACGTCGTGAATCGTGAGCGATTATAAAGGCTGTGTTGTGGCGTTCAGGACGGAGCAACATTGAGACAAAAAACAAAAACACCGGCAACACCTGCGGATTTCCCACAGGTAAAAACGCGACAGCGTGGACCAATGAAATACATCGTAGGTGGAAAACGTAAGCGACACATACCAGTTTAAAGACCAATAGAAATGCAATGATTTTAGACCAATGAAAAGAAGACGTGGGTGGAGTTGGATCAGGTCCGGCTCCACCCCTTTGGACTTGTGGTTCTGCAGCGAGTGGTAGTTGGATTTTCTGGGGCTGTTTGGAAGGCAGGTAGCTAATGTTACCGCTAGTTAGCTGAATGTCTTAATGCAGCTGTATAACTGTAGTAGCTTATTATCTTCAAATCATCTTTACACTGGAGAGAATGAATGTGTCAATTATTCGTCACATGACAATAACGAGCTAAAGGCTAAAGTTAGCAATGTAGCTGGCTATCTAGCTAACGATCATCTCGGTCTGGCTTCTTTTCTCTTGACGAAAAGGTGAAAACTCATGTCTGGTGGCCATTTTGTGCTGAATAAAGACAGAATCTCACACAAGATGCACCTGCAAACCAGACAGGAGACTAAACGCATCAGTCCATCTGCAAAGAGGCCAAACCCGTCTTTCAGTAACCCGGCCAGCGAGTGAGCGACACTTCCACCAGTCTGCTATCCAATATCTTAATGCAGCTGTATAACTGTAGTAGCTAACTATCTTCAAATCATCTTTACATCGGAGAGAATGAATCAATGTCAATGATTCGTCTTATGAGAACAACAAGCTAAAGGCTAAAGTTAGCAATGTAGCTGGCTATCTAGCTAACGATCATCTCAGTCTGGCTTCTTTTCTCTCGACGAAAGGGTGAAAACTCATGTCTGCTGACCATTTTGTGTTGAATAAAGACAGAATCTGAGTTTTCATTATAATTTTGTTTGCCAACCGAGGTACACGTTGCTAGCTGGGTTGTATTTATTAGCCTATTGCTCAGTGGCTAGGCTAGCAGTCAGGACTGGTTGGCACCACAGGGATTCCCAAAGCTTATATGATGTGTCAGTGTAATATATGCTGGGTATGGGTGAGAAAATACTGATAAAACACAAAAACAATCATAATATTGTGAATTCTGTCAGAAGGACGAGGCTGAAAGATATAATGCTGCATTACAGGACACTGCAAAACGACAAAAACACTTTAAATCTAGTTTTAGGACAGAATGTGTGCTAAATGGTATATATAAGCCTCCATTACTTGTTAGGTACATTAGCCTTGCAGCTTTAGAGCAAAACTTCAGACACCAAACATGTCTTGGCTGATACTACATTGGTGTTAAAGAGGGGAAACTGTGTAAATTTGATTTTATGACAAATTATTCCTTTAAGGGTCTCCAGAAGTGGCCAGATGAAGCCTTGTGAGTGTTACACATGCAACAGCACTGCAGTTACATGCTGCCTGCATCCATCAATCCAGCCATCAATCCACGTCAGCTCCTCCTTCAGCTCCATCACACGCCATCGATCCCGCTGCAGAACGTGAAACGTGCAGCACACACACATAAACGCTACGCAAAGCGGTAACGCTCATAATGCAAACACCCCTCATACCAAACCCCACTGCTGAAGCCTTCTGTCCGTCACTCAAACCGGATGTCTGTGCAGACAGACAACAGCAGCGTAAACAAAACCTCAGTGCAGAAGGATCACATTCCAACGAACGGCGCAGGAAGGAGCTACACTACCGTTCAAAAGTCTACAATCACTGTTTTCAGTAATATAAAGCCACTGTGCTGCAGGTTTTTGTGTACAGTGACTTCAATATGACTCAATGTGCTCAATGATTTCACAGGGTTCAAAAAGTTAGTAGGAAGGTATAAAACATCAAAATGAATATTCAGAATGCCTCATATTACAAAAGTGTTAATCAAATCTCACAGGGGATCATCTGACAACACATCACTATAAATAGATCATTACATTGTGAGAAGGCCGAACAGCTGTTTTCTTTTCTGATACCAGTGCTGATGCTGAAGCCTTTAAGGTCAGTCAATACTGATAATGTTTTCTTTAAAACTACTTTTATCTGCATTTTAAATATATATATATATATATATATAAATAATGCATATATACACATATACATATATATATATATATATATATATATATATATATATGTACATACATACATATATATATATATATATATATATATATATATATATACATGCATTTATGTCTTACTTTCAATGTACTTTTATTAGCTTCATGTCATTTAAATAGGCAACTGGTTTTTCATTTCAAGAATTTAAATACCAGTCTGGCCCATTACAGAGCAAATAATAGTTTATATTGTGACTTTGGCTGGTAGAAAGTAACAGAAACGTGCTGGATTGTTTCATGTGTTAATTTAACCCACACAGTGTGAGCTTTAAGTTCAAAAAAGCTAGTAAAAAGTGTCCAAAAAGAAAAAAATGGTTGTAAAGAAATCAGAATTAGCCATAATGGCTAATTGGCTGATGCTGCATCTCTAAATAACTGCCTGTTGTTGTGAAAAAAACATAAAAAAATATCATCTAAAAATACTGCTATTTCTAACTATGCGACAGAAGTTATCAAACAATATCACAACTGTTATTAACACAATAAGTGATTAAAAACTTTGTACTAGACATCACATCCTACAGACTGGGTCTAACGCCGTGAGTGATGAATGCAGCAATGTTTCAAGATCCAGCCCTGCAGTTTACAACTGTATGCAAAAGTTTGAACCCAGAAGATAAGTTAATATATCCTCTATAGAGAACAAGCTTAAATATAGCATTTTTCCTGCATATTTTAGTGCTGTATATCTACTTATTCGTTGACTTTAACATGTTGGCTTAAAATAAAAACAAATAGAAATTGCCAATATGTTACATTCAGCAAATAAACAGGTACTGTGCACAACACACTTCTGAAATAATTTTCATTTCAACAAAAAAAGACAAAAAGCATGTCATTTGACCATGTGCACATTTTTGCATACGAGGCCACCTTCACTGTACAGGTCAGTGTTTCCTTGCTCTCACACTGGAATCTGCTCCAGGAGAACCTGACCGGCTTCTAATTATGTGACTCAGGAGCAGGAAAGCTGAACCTGTGCAGTGCAGGTGGACGGCAACACTGGAGGAGAGAAACTCTGAACTACAGATTAATCTCTACAGTGCATGAACGGCCGTGGAGGCAGAGGGGGAGGCCACACACCCAACAGCACCAAACCAAAACAGTTAAACGTGGGGTCATCTCTGCTCGATTCATTTTAGCTGTCTGCTACTTCTACAGTTAGACGGACTGAAACTGCTGCCTGTTAATGTTCAGAAAACTCAGAAGGTGGCTCATAGCCTGAAGAGCTCATTCAATGAGGCCTTCATTAGAGTTAAATAGGTGGGAGAACTAAAACTGTGGTGGAGAGAGAGAGAAAATAGACAGAATAGACAGACGTGTAGATAAGGACAAAACTACATATATGTAGAAAAGATGGACAGGCACACAGATACAGACAGATGGATAGATGGATGGATGGATGCACAGACAGATGGGCAGACAGACAGATATACATAGATAAAAATATATAAAGTCAGACAAACAGATAAATACATAGAAAGACAGGCAGACAGATATACAGATAAATAGATATATAGACAGACAAATCAACATATAGATAGATACAGATAGACAGATAGACATAGATAGATAGATAGATAGATAGACAGACAGACAGATAGATAGACAGACAGATAGACAGACAGATAGATAGATAGATAGAGAGATACTGACATACAGATGAATACACAGACAGACAGACAGATGCATGGATGGATGGATGGATGGATGGATAGATAGATAGATAGATAGATAGATAGATAGATAGATAGATAGACAGACAGATACTGACATACAGACGAATACACAGACAGATAGACAGATGCATGGATAGACAGACAGACAGACAGACAGACAGACAGATAGATAGATAGATAGACAGACAGACAGACAGATACTGACATACAGATGAATACACAAACAGACAGACAGACAGATGCATGGATAGACAGACAGACAGATAGATAGATAGATAGATAGATAGATAGATAGATAGATAGATAGATAGATAGAAAGAGACCAATAGATAAATAGATAGATACAGATAAACAAATAGACAGATAGACAGATAGATGGATAGACGGTTTGATAGATAGACAGATAGAGACAAATAGATAAACAGATAGATACAGATAAACAAATAGATAGATAGACAGACAGATGGATAGACCGTTTGATAGACAGACAGATAGAGACCAACAGATAAACAGATAGATACAGATAAATATACAAATAGATAGATAGATGGATAGATAGATAGACACGTGGATAGACAGACAGTTTGACAGACAGACAGATGATCCCCCTTCTCTAACTCTAACAGGGCTGTTATAGCCCCTACACCGTGGTGGGCTGTAATACAGGGGGATGGACTGGGGGGCGTAACACCAGCACGGAGAAATAAAACAACGCAACCGATTACTATTCTGTCTCTCCCAGTTTGGTCTCTCACCTCCAGGTGGGCACATGAGCCTCATAGTCCCAGTACTCCCGGCTCTTCAGGGTGTTCACATCGGCGTAAACTCGGGCTTTACTGCCGGCCACCGGGCCGGGCATGGCGGGGCTCCGGGAGAGAGAGGAGCTAACGGCGCAGCGGCTACTGCTAAGACCGAGGATCCGAGGGAAGCGCAGAAGAAGGCAGAGACCGCAGAGACTGACCTCCAAACGCTGAATGCGCAAGTTCAGCTGAAAAACCAGCTCTGATTAGACAGAAATGAAAGCGCCTCTGCTGATGAAGAGGAAGATGAAGATGAAGCCAGACCCGGAGCAGGAGGCAGGAGGCAGGAGGCAGGCGGGGGGGTTTCTCTGGTTAAATTACTGCCGGTTAAACCCCCCCACCCCCAGTCAGCTTCAAATCCCAGATCCTAACTGTGGAGGTCCAGCGAGAAATCCCACCAGCAGCTTCCAGAACAGAGCAGGAGTAGCGAGGCTGGCGTGCAGTGGCGTTCGGCTCTTCTGTTCGGTCCAGCCGGCTGGAGAGGAGGAGGAGGAGGAGGAGGAGGAGGAGGAGTGCAGACCGCTGCTGTTAGCTGGCCTGCTCTCTGTCTCTATCACACCGAGGGAGGGGGAGAGTCGTGCAAACCCTTCGCAGTCCCATGCAGAGCCTCCTGCTCTTGTTTTTTGGCTTTATTTCTTGAGGAACGCCCCCTGCCCGGGTTCGGCTCCGCTCCGCAGGGAAACGGGTTGTAGTATAGTAACCTGGAAGAACACTCGAGCGTTTGTGTACTAGGAAATAGTCTCAAATCCCATACTGCGCATGCGCACTGCAAAGTGCTGCCACCCATCTTAGTATTTTTTAGGGTGCGTTTCATTCAGATGTGAGAGTGCTTACGCCCTACTCCCTAGACCCTACAGAGTGGACACTCAGGATAGATAGATAGATAGATAGATAGATAGATAGATAGATAGATAGATAGATAGATAGATAGATAGATATTTGCGAATACTTATTCAGAATACAGAAATTCAGTATCTGTATTCAGTCCAAGTTACATTTGTAAAAGGCAGTATTCAGAATACTTTTTACATTTTTGGGAAATACTTGTAGAATATTTATCGACTAAAAAAATATATATTTTCACATTGTTTCAGTCGATATTCAGTGGTCAGGACCCCCATGGACCCTCACAGATCAGGTACTATTAGGGTGGTGGATCATTCTCGAGCACTGCAGTAACACTGACGTGGTGGTGGTGTGTTAGTGTGTGTTGCGCTGGTCTGAGTGGATCAGACACAGCAGTGCTGCTGAAGTTTTTAAAACACCTCAGTGTTGCTGCTGGACTGAGAATTGTCCACCAACCAAAAATATCCAGCCAACAGCGTCCTGTGGGCAGCGTCCTGTGACCACTGATGAAGGACTAGAGGATGACCAACACAAACTGTGCAGCAGCAGATGAGCTATCGTCTCTGACTTTACATCTACAAGGTGGACCGATAAGGTACGAGTGTCTAATAGAGTGGACAGTAAGTGGACACAGTGTTTAAAAACTCCAGCAGCACTGCTGTGTCTGATCCACTCAGACCAGCGCAACACACACTAACACACCACCACCACGTCAGTGTTACTGCAGTGCTGAGAATGATCCACCACCCAAATAGTACCTGCTCTGTGAGGGTCCATGGGGGTCCTGACCACTGAAGAACAGGGTAAAAGGGGGCTAACAAAGTACACAGAGAAACAGATGGACTACAGTCTGTAACTGTAGAACTACAAAGTGCACCTATATAGTAAGTGGAGCTGATAAAATGGACAATGAGCATAGAAACAAGGAGGTGGTCATAATGTTATGCCTGACCGGTATGTATGTATATATATAGTCCATTAGAAACTTAATCCTTAGGATTAAAACCTTTCTAATGGGGATTGGCTTAATACTTTCCAGTAGAGACCACTAGTTTCCTGTGGAACACCTTTAGATCCCATCAGGAAACCGTCAAATAAATTTCTGACTCAGTAAGTTTCTGTAGAACAAAACATTTCACACCAAACCACTCTGAATAACTTTGTTTACATTATAACTATGTAATTATTTTATGTACCAAAATCAGTCACTTCATTTTTTTATTATTTATCGTATTATATGAGATAATGTATCTCCATTTGTGTCATTTTTTTTGCGCCAGTTTCGCTTTGCAGTAAGATCAAATTTCATGAACAGACCAACAAAAATGGTCCAAAATTACTTGGAAAAAATGCTTTTACCTCAACTTCCATTACGAGTTCATAATGTTTTTCCTTCTCCTGTAAAATTACCGTTTGGAAACATGAGACTTAATGAACTCTGTTCTGATTGGATGCCATGTGTTGTTCCTCTTTAAAAGCATACCAGACTGAAACACTTAGAACTTCTACATGAACAGGTGGGGCTAAGCAAAGCAAAGCCTGAATAGGAGCATGTATGTAAATGTGTTGGTTTCTGTGTCATCACGAAAACAGTGAGATGAAAACAGGCTGATTTTGCAGTTTAATTCCCATATGTAGAATGTATGGACTGGGTATTCAGTACATTTTGAAACATAAACAACATAAACATCATCTACATCGAGGTCTTTTATCAAAAAAAGTGAGTGTACGTCACAGTTTTCAGTTTTTAATGATATAGGCCCCTTAACACCACACTGAACCTCACTGAGATGCAGTTTGTGAGGATGCTCTCAGTGGTACAGCGGTAAAAGTTCACCAGTATCCCGGGACTCAGGTGAGCTTTCTTGAGGCTCTTGAGGCCTTTTTGACCATGATGGAGGAGTTTAGGGACCAGGTGAGATCATCTGAGATGTGGATACCAAGGAACTTGAAGTCAGACGCGCTCTACCTCAGCTCCGCTGACGTAAATGGGGGAGTGTGTCTGGCTCTTACCCCTCCTGAAGTCCACTATGATCTCTTTGGTTTTCTGGGTGTTGAGTGCCAGGTTGTTGTCCTCAAAATCAGTTTTAAAGCTATTAAACAGAACATTACAAGGATAAAACAACAAAGGAACAGTTGACCCCTGTTATTTTGTTATTTAACCCCTTAAAATCCCAGGTTTATTATATATTATTCAGTAACTTCAGGGACTTCAGGGCAAACTGGTTGAGCTATTCTTAGATTATAGAAGTGTGTAATAAAAAATTGGGCCTGCTGGTGGGTCCTGGCCATAAGGGGATAATAACAGCTGACCCTTCTTATCCTGGACATCACCTCTTCCAGCCATTTCCCTCTGGTAGAAGATTCAAGGCCATCAAAATCCCCAGAGCTGTAGCACTCATTACCACAGTGGACACCTCACACTTTATACTTAAACTATACCAAACAAGGGCGGCACGGTGACGCAGTGGGTAGCACTGTCGCCTCACAGCAAGAAGGGCCTGGGTTTGATTCCCGGCCAGGCGACCAGGGTCCTTTCTGTGTGGAGTTTGCATGTTCTCCCCATGTCTGTGTGGGTTTCCTCCCACGGTCCAAAGACATGCAGTCAGGCCAATTGGACATGCCGAATTGCCCCTAGGTGTGAATGTGTGTGTGATTGTATATGTATGTCTGTCTGCCCTGCGATGGACTGGCGACCTGTCCAGGGTGTATCCTGCCTTCCGCCCAATGACAGCTGGGATAGGCTCCAGCACCCTACCGCGACCCAGAAGGATAAGCGGTTTAGATGATGTATGTATGTATGTATGTATAAACCAAACAAACCTCCTTACTGTTATGAACATTTTGCAAATGTTCATAACCCTATTTGGTTCTATATAGAGCCCTTTTCAAAAGGTTCTAAATAGAACCATCTACAGCACATTCTCCATCAATCTGAAGAAGATCGCTTTCACCGAGCAAAGGGTTCTTTGAGTGTTAGAACCATCGTGTTTACTAAAGAACCCTTGAAAGACCATCAGTGATATGCTACGTGTGCACTTACCAGAACAGACTAGTCAATTTTGTGCCAAACATTTCAAATAAAATAATAAAATCCACGAGTAAAATATTAAGAATCAAAATATGTCACAAATACAAATAATGAGAGTTAAATCGAACCTGTCACTCTAAATCAGTGCAGGTGAGCCCCTCTTCTAAGACCCGCCCCCTGTTAGAAAATGCCAAAAGTCAGACTCAAAAGAAAAATTTCAGAAGCAAAAAATTTATCAGCAAAATCAGCAAATAGAAACAAATTAAAAAAAAACTGGCAAAACGAGTAATGAGTAGTAATCTTTTTGAAAAAATGAAGCTTAATTTAATTCTTATTATTTGTATTTGGAGCATATTTTGGACATTTTGATATTTAATTTTAATTTAATTTTCTATTTTATTTGAAACGTTTGGCACAAAATGACCTCCATAACAGACTCCGTGTCTGTGTGACACACTTTCTGAAGTAATGAAGTGATTTTGATTCGGATTTTAAACGCTGTGTGATATTATAAACTGATTTTTTAAAGTTTATTAAGGAGTAGAAACTTAATAACATCCCGCCACAACTTTTCAGTCCAATAATAATAATAACACTTTTGGCTGAATGCGCGTTTTAGGCTCCTCCCCCTTTCTTGACGACGGCGGTGTTTACCATAGCAACCATGGCGGCCAAGAAGGACGGCGGCGTTACAGAAGAAGATATAAAACAAATCGTTGAACTGGTGGAAAACCTGAGGTAAGACATGTGAGACATATCGCTAAAGCTTATTTAGAGTGGCTGCTTAAAACGAGCCAGAATCTACTGGAGGTTAAGTAGCATCAACAATATCAACTATTGATCAGCTATGAATCAACAGTGTCACTAATGATCAAACACAGTGTGAGCTTTCACAAAAGGCAGACGATCTAATCAATAACCAGGTCACATGTAGTCCAAAATCCATCAAAATAACACAACTAATACAAAAAGGACATTTGAAACACAATCATTTAACCAAAAAAGGCTGGTACAACTGGAACAAACTGCCAGGAGATCTTAGATAAAAACATTTTTCTGTTCATGCGCTTATGACAGCTCTTAAACTTCCCTTTTATTCTTACGGCACTTTACCTTTGGTAAGTTAACACTTAAACCCTTTGTCTTTAATTTCTTTTTATGTTTTTGTTTTGCACTTTGTTTATATACGTCCATACATGTTGCATATTGGACTGCCACTTGTTTACACACCCAGACATACTGCACAAATATTAACATACGTTATTGTTTACAGTGTTTAGTCACTCGGTTCATTCAGTGGACGTGACATGCAACTCTGCATTGTCGTTCGCATAATATTTAAGTGATTTTACTTACTTATTTTTGTACCGCACATTAAATTTTATGGTAGTTTTAGTATATTTTATTTTATATCTTTATATTTTTTACTTATGCATCTGTGTAATGTCTCTTGTTTTGCGCTTTATTGTACTTTGTGCTGCTGTATTGGACATTTTGGAATTTTCCCTCTGGGATAATTTGGAATTTTCCCTCTGGGATAATTCATACATACATACATACATACAAACATCCACCCACCCATCCATCCATACATACATACATACATACATACATACATACATACATACAAACAAACATCCACCCATCCATCCATACATACATACATACATACATACATGCAAGCATACAAATATCCACCCAGCCATCCATACATACATACATACATACATACATACATGCATGCATGCATGTATGCATACAAATATCCATCCTTCCATCCATACATACATACATACAAACATCCACCCATCCATCCATCCATCCATACATACATACATGCATACATGCATACAAACATCCACCCATCCATCCATACATACATACATACATCCATACATCCATTCATACATACATACATACAAACATGCATAAGTCTGTCTAATCTGAAAATATTTGTTGCTGTTTGCATTGTGTGCAAATTTCATGATGAAAGGACCAAAAATGGCCTAAAAGTACTTGGAAAAAAGTCTGGTCTCATTAACTTACATTAAAAGTAAAATGAGATACAAAGTTTTGCTCTGACAGTAGCAACTTGCTTTTAATTGTGTTTTATTTTTTTTTAAGCTATTGTCACTTTTTACATTTTTAATTATTAATTTTAATATTTTTATACTTTTTTTTTACACTTAAGCACTTTGTCTTTATTTTTTCTTTTGGTGTTCTTCTGTACATCACATTGAATTGATTGTGTATGAAGTGTGCTGTATAAATAACTTGCGTCGCCTTGTAACATTTAACTACTTAATATTTAAGTAAAACATCTGGATAACAGGCTGCTGAGGAACCAGGATGATTTTTTGAGTATGCACAGAACCGTGGACCAGCTCTGATTTAGGGCCCCAGAACCCAGGCGTGCCAGACACAGCAAAGAAAAGACAGACAATGACAGTCTTCAGCATAAATAGTGAACTCCTGGCTGTTCAGCATTGCACCTGATCTGTCCTCCTTGAAGATTGTGCCAAGTTTCCATTAGAAGTGTCTGGAAAAGTGTAGAGCTGCAGTACTCCTGAAGCTGCAAGACCAAATGCAGTGTCTTATGTTGGTCATGTGTCATTTTGAACTATTTACCTATATTTGTTGTGATTTTCTGTCTTACAGACTCTCCAATGCGGCGCTGCAGACTGAGACCGAGATGTTCGAGCGCTACATCAGTCGGCTGGATCCCCGTGACCTGGTTCCTCAGGTTGCGCCCGAGTCTTTGGGGGCTGTTTCATCGATGGAGATGGGGGTAAATATGTCTCATATCTTCCATCACTCAGCTGATTTTTATTATCAAATTCATACTTACTTAAAGGAATGCTGATTTTTCAATCTAATCTCTCTCTGCTGCATCGGTATCGTGTAGGTGAGTTATTACATACAGTAATTTTGACTGTTTCACTTTACATTAAAAAAGAGCTCAAAACGTGTGGACTTACAGGAGCCAATGGGCAGCTTCTGAATTCTGTCAGTAAATGATTATATGAAACATGTTTTTCTAGAACAGTTCCTTCAGTCAAAGTTATCTGTAAATTAAGCTGTATAGGTTTTCAGTTCTTTCACTGATGATTGTCTCTATTAGGGATGGACCTGAATATTAGACTGTTCGGTTATTCGTTTGTTGCGTAGGTATTAAAGGTGAACTGCAAAATACTGTACCGTTCTCGGGAGAAGCTTAGACGACTAGAGGTGACGGTCGATAATGCAGCTTAATTTTCAACATCAGAAAACACAGCCTTCTGCTCTACTCCAGAAACTCCACTACTCCACATGTATACAGGCTCTTCATACATTATAAAAGTCCTTGTACAAATGAGCCTAAAACAGTCCAACATAAACATTTCTCCTTTTTAAAAAACTGAACTACTTACAGTGCAGTGTGGCGATGCCACAATTCATTTTGTGAGCATATTCTTGTACTATATTTTTATTTTTTAATTCCTGTGAAGCGATGGTTAACCCGTGCATGCACTGTGCTGTTACCTGTTACCTGTGCTGTTAGCCTGCCGTTGGCCTGGAAGCCACACTGTGAGCAGCGCAGCTCTCTGTAAGGAAAGCAGCTACCCTAGAGATTCAGATTGTATACAGAATAAAGCTGTGGATATGCTTTCAACAAAGCGCCGGACGATTTTTGAACTGCTTTTTCTGCCCAAAGCTCCTCTGCCTCCACCACCAACTGCCCCCCGACCCCTGGCGTAGTGAAGCTTTGAATATTCGCTGTTGAAAAATACTGGAATATTTCTGTAGCCTCTTTCTGCTGGCCCCCTAATGGCCAGCCCACTGGTATGGAAATTGACTCAGTATAATCAATTAAAGTATTTTGTCCCAGTAACTCTGTTATGAGATGAACTAGGACACTGTTGTCTCTCTGGGTGTGAAATACTGTGACCCTGTGTTGAGCTGCTAGTGAGCAATGAGGGATGAAGGGGAGGGGAGAAGCCCTTTTTGTGAAAACTATTCACACCTCTCCACAAAGACGGTCATGGCGAGAAAAAACATACAGCACAACTGCAGCTTTCGTCATATCAAACAATCCTGTGTACAACTGACACAATGAACAAATATCTTTCCACCCAATAAAAGCTATAAAAAAAACACTTTCATAAATGTTGACTCGCTTGCTCACCTATGAAGACCAAAAGCCGTTTCACTACAGGTTTGCAATGAATTCCATCAACATCACTGAAGAAAAGAATGCATAGTTCAACTGAACCTCCAAATCAGGCAGAAATTGCTTTTATAGCTACTGTGAAAAAAGGTAAATGTTAACATTTGAGTATAAGTTGTTTTAGGAGTGACACAGTTTGGTAAAAGTGTTGTAAAGGGCACATTATATTATTTCCACACTCTTTGTACTGGTTAATATTACCCTAATGCTCCAAAGCTTTTGGGAGGTTAATTTGTGCTGTGTTCCTTTATTTTAAATCTGTATTCTGTGTCACGCTTTTGTTTATTTGCGACTCAAGAGCCGTGTGAGGAAACCTAAAGCGCGGCGGCCGTCTCAGGAGCGATCACAGCGTCTGACGCTGGAGCAGAAGTGTGATATTGGTCAGAGGGAGGTGGACGAGATGAGGGACGATCTGAAGAAGCTCAAAGAGAGTTCAGAGAAAGTCGTCCACAATTACAAGGTTTATTGTAGTTAAGCTGGATATTCTGTGAAACGTGCATTGTCCCATGCCTTTTGGCTTAAAGGGGAACTCCACTGATTTTCTAGATTTGTGCATAATTAAATGGCTGAGATGTAAACAGCCATTCAGAGTGATTTGATGTGAAATGCTCAGTTGTAGATAAACTTGCAGAGGCAGAATTGTTCACAGTGGCGGTGATAGGAACCAGACGTCTGAACAGTCTAGGGCATTTTAAAGCTCCCTCACAGAAAGTGATCACATGAAATTGTTATGAATATGTTGCCTGATGACGGAAACGTTGTTTTGTTATGTTCTGAGATGAGATTTGGTTTTAGATAGTTAATATATAGCCTATATTTGTGGTGTAGACTTCTGGTTCCTATCACCACCACTGTAATTAAATCTGAGTCAGTAAGATTCTCTACAATTAACCATTTTACATCATACTGAATGAGTTTGTTTACATCTCAGTGACAGAATTATGCAGAAAATTTGATAAATCGGTGGAACTGTCCTTTCAGTATCCCCTGGCACAAACGTACAATCCTAAATGCAGTAAAACACAGTAAGCTACTATGTGTAGTTTTATGAAACTGTATTATATATAATATTTCATTAGGCTATAATATAAACAGGATGTAGTGTTCCCAGGCTGGAGGTAATAACATCTGGCCTAATGGCCTCTCCTCCTTTTAGGCCACTATTGAGGAAGCCGACATCCGGCTGGCGGAGGTTAAGAAGGCGAGCTACGAGTTTGACCGCGACGTTGCTAAGACTCTACAGGAGAAGCAGGCTGTGATGATGGCCGCAGAGAAGGTCAGCCGTTACATTGAGGACAGAATGAAATCCAAGGTAAGATGAAAGACCCGTTAACACAGTTATCAGCATGCAGATGTTTACTTAAGGCAGTTTCAGCTCCAGCTGTTCTGGAGTTCTAGATGGACGTCTGGATAAAATGTGATTCCACTGTGGAATTAAATCTTACTGGTGGAGATCACTGTGAACGCTGGGAGAAAGTTTGACTGACAACTTAATCATGACTTCGTTCGTTAAAAGAAAAAGACAGACTTGCTTTTAAAATATGCTCTAGATTAGTAGCTTCATATCTGCCCCCTTTTGTAGCCGTGCCCCTCCTCAAAAAACCCACCCACTGTCACTCACTCTCACTCATTGTTACAGGGGGAATTCAATTGATTTTTCAACATTAAAATATCTGCATAATTAAATTGTTAAGATGTAAACAAAGTCATTCAAAGTGGCTTGATGTGAAATGGTTCATTGTAGAGAAAACTCTTTACAGTGGTGCTGATAGGAACCAGGGGTCACGATGTCAACAACACAAATATAGCCATTTTATTTACTATCCAAAATAGTAAAATTGTGGAAAATCTGAAAAAATAAGTTTTCTGTGGGGGCTGTTTGCTTTACAGTGCTCTGCATGTAACTCTCTGCCATGAATGGATTTCGATAGAAATAGTTTTCAGGCTAAAATCTTCCAAATTATCATAAAACAGTGACCCCAGGCAGCATATCTATAACCGTTTTGTGCAATAGCTTTATGTGATGGAGCCTTTAGATGGCACTGAATTATGACTCATTGGCATGTTTTTGGTTTAATCTACCACAAGTAAACAAGTACCACTTTTTTAGAAGCAGATTTAATGAACTAGCAAAATTAAAATGTACTATGTAAGGAAACAACTACCAAGGCACAAGAGCCGCCGCTAGACACACTTAAATAACATGGTTCTTCAAGGGTTCTTTAGTAAAGCCAAGGGTTCTATTTAGAATCATGCGATTCTATTAAATGACTGTCCAGTGGCGTGGCAAGTGCAGGCAGTGTGCAGTAGATGGAGCTAATGAGCAGCGTAGAATTTGCCCCATATCTTTTTTCTCCTGTAACAGACAGCAGCTCTTTAAGTGTCTCTAAAGAAACAGTTTAATGCACACTTCACTCAGTAATCTTTGATTATTATTACTTGATTATGTGGTTTAGGACACTGTATGACACACTTATCTAGGCTTCAGGTAGCTGCTAGTACGGTCTTTTGTACTTATTATTTTTATAAGTGTCAAAAACCTCATTAGCCACTATTTGAGATTCCTTAAAGGGGAATTCCACCAGTTTTTCAGAATTGGAGATTAAAGTCATTCAAAATGGTTAAATGTAAATGGTGCATTGCAATGTCTACAACACAAATGCTTTGCAAAAATGGTATCTTGTCAAGTAAACATACCTTAAATATAGTCAATAAATCTAATATTTCTCCTGTTTCTTACTTGTTTTGAGTAATTTTATGAGGTAAATTCTCACTGTGTTGGCAGATGATTTTGCCTGTTTTAAGAAATGTGCTTGAAACAAGCTAAATTACACCGATCAGCCATAACATTATGACCACCTCCTTGTTTCTACGCTCATTGTCCATTTTATCAGCTCCACTTACTATATAGGTGCACTTTGTAGTTCTACAGTTACAGACTGTAGTCCATCTGTTTCTCTGCATACTTTGTTAGCCCCTCTTTTACCCTTGTTCTTCAGTGGTCAGGACCCCCATGGGTCACAGGGTCACAGAGCAGGTACTGTTTGGATGGTGGATCATTCTCAGCACTGCAGTAACACTGATGTTGTGCTGGTATGCGTGGATCAGACACAGCAGTGCTGCTGGGAGTTCTTAAACACCTCAGTGTCACTGCTGGACTGAGAATAGTCCACCAACCAAAAATATCCAGCCAACAGCGTCCTGTGGGCAGCGTCCTGTGACCACTGATGAAGGACTAGAGGATGACCAACACAAACTTTGCAGCAGCAGATGAAGGTAGAAGTGTCTAATAGAGTGGACAGTGAGTGGACACAGTGTTTAAAAACTCCAGCAGCACTGCTGTGTCTGATCCACTCAGACCAGCGCAACACACACTAACACACCACCACCACGTCAGTGTTACTGCAGTGCTGAGAATGATCCACCACCCAAACAGTACCTGCTCTGTGTCGCATTACTCTTCCAACATCTTTTAGCTGTAGTTGGTAAGAGCTCAAATCTCCTGATGCTGAACTGATCAGACTGTGGCTCTCCGCTCTGCAGGACACTCTGATAGAGAAGCTGCGTCTGAAGAATGCAGCGCTGCGTGTGCAGAAGCGTAAGCTGCAGCTGCGGCAGAAGGAGGAGATGGGAGAGGCTCTTCAAGAGGTGGACTTCCAGCAGCTGAAGATCGAGAACAGCCAATACCTGGAGCAAATCGACCAACGCAACCAGGACCTACTGCGGCTCAAACTGCAGACTGGAAACACGCTGCAGGTCCTCAACTCCTACAAGGTACAGATCTCCATCCACACACTTTAAAAAGATGCTTCTTCAAGGGTTCTTGAGTAAAGGCATTAGTTCTGTTTAGAACCATGAGTGCTATATAGAACCATTTCATGCTTAAATGGTTCTTTGCACGATGAAATAGTTCTTCAGATTGATGGGGAATGTGTTGTACATAGAAGCATTTCGGGTGGCTCTATGTAGCACCAAAAAGGGTTCTGCTATTGTTATGATGCCAAGCTTGTAACTATTGAAGAACCCTTTTGGTGCTGTATAGAACCATGTACAACACATTCTCCATTAATCTGGAGAACCATTTCACCATGCATGGCATACTTCTATACAAAACTCCTGGTCCTAAGTAGAACCATTACCTTTACTGAAGAACCCTTGAAGAACCATCATTTTTAAGTATGATATAGAACACAGTCCAACACTGGATCTCATGCAGCTCCTACACTGTACTGCAGGGGTGTCCAGTGCTGGACCTGGAGGGTTCAGATCCAACACACCTGCCCCTGATGGCCTTCATTACCTGGACCAGGTGTGCTAGATTAGGGTTGGAGCTAATCTAGGCAGTGTGCTAGATCTCCAGGACCAGGATTGAGCCCCCCCCCAGTTGTGCTGTTATGATGGCAATTGCTTAAAGCAGGGGTGCACGACTCCAGTCCTGGAGGGGCAGCGTCCAGTATAGTTTGGTGATTTAACCTTTACAGACACACCTGATGACACTTATCTGTCAACTGCAAGGTTTAGGAAGTGTGCTTGAGTAGGGAAACCTCCAAACTGTGCTGGACACCAGCCCTCCAGGACCAGAGTTGTGCACCCCTGGCTTAAAGGAATGGTTTACACAGTTTGGACTCCTCATCCTAATTGTTGTTTTCTTCTTTAGTTTTACATAGAGGTGGGTAATCCAGGTCCAAAAAGTAAAAACCCTCCCCAGGATTTCGTTTCAACTGCCTGAACACCTTTGCTGCTGGTTTGAGCAAATTAGAGAAGTCAAGCAGTTGGGACAAAATCCTGGGGAGGGTTTTTACTTTTTGCACCTGGATTACCCACCTCTAGTTTTACACTGGGGCTACAAGGCTAATGTAGCTAACAAGTAAGTTTATATCTCACCAATTAACATCATGTCCATTCTAGCATGTCTAAATCATCACATACTTGCCTGTAATTTATAAAATGTAGAACACGTGCATCAGGCTTCAGTCCTCGTGGGCCAAAACACTGCAGACTTCAGCTCACTGCCTCATTAAACACACCTGATTCAGCTCATCAGCTAATTAGCAAGGCCTTCATGAACTGAATTCAGAGAGTTAGATGAGGGTCAGCGCTAATCTCTGCAGCACTTTGGCCCGGAAAGTCCCCAGCTTGACATGCCTGATGTAGAACATGATGGCTGCTACTATTGTCAATATATTTTTTTTGTTGTATTTTTAGCTATGCTAAAGTACTTTTGTCCTTTTTTGTAGATCCACCACATTGATCTAAGTCAGGGGTGTCCAAAGTCCGGTCCCAGGGCCAAATATGGCCCACAAATAGATTTTATTTGGCCCCCGGCTTCTGTTTTACAATGTATTTTATAAGTGGCCAACCAGCCAGTATGTTGCAGTTCTTCCTTTCACCTGATGGTGGCAGCTGACCAGACCTGCAGCTTCATTTACTGAATGACAGTTAGTCAGGATTACAGACATAAAGCTCAAACTAAACACTGAAAACTGGTGATTTTGGCGAAATGGAAAACTTCTTATCAGAGCAAATTCAGTCGTTCGGTTTATATTTTATTTAGTTTATATTAAACTAGCAACTTTAGGGTCGAACAGAAACGTGGCTACACTGCGTTTGATATTGAAAACACATTATCTAACAAAACCAAACATTTATAGCTGTTTCACAAAGTATATTTTTTAAACAAGTAAACATTGAATAGGAATATGATTAATACAATTGGACATGCTGTATTGTTACTCTTAAACAACTTATTGCTTATCGCTTATTTATCCAAGCTGTTCTGAATGAACAATCCAACCATAAAATAAGCCTTATGCATCTTTTATGCAGTGATAGGAAACACAGCAGCTCACAGAAAGCTCAGATTCTATGCGCTGATCTTTTGAAAACAATTATGAATAATATTTGGGCCCTCAGCTATTTTGATACCTGCCCTCTTTGAAAAAGTTTGGACACCCCTGATCTAAGTCTAGCAGAGATTAGTGAACTCCACACAGTTTGAGGCATGTGTGTGATTTAGGCACATAGTTTTCACCATGCTTACTGGTGTACATAAGCTTCCATTACTTATTAGTGACATATAGCCCTGTAGCTCCAGTGGAGAACTAAAGAAGCAAACTTCAGACACCAAACATGTCTTGGCAAGTCAACTACATTGGGGGTAATATGGGCAAAAATGCCACCAAACTATCACATGAAAGTAGTATTAACCTTTATTAGTCTTGGAGCACCACACCTAATTCAGCTCCTGCAGAACTTGCACAAGGGAAAACATTCTAATGCTGTACAAATGATGAAATTAGAATAGACCTGTTTGATATACCGTTAAGGTTCTCTCTTGCAGAAGAAGCTTCAGAGCTTGACTCTGGAGTCCAAGCCGCTGAGCAGTGACATCGCTTCACGTGAAGAGATGATTGTGAAGATTGAGGAGGAAACTCAGAAGGCAGAGGAGGTCAGCATGCGTTCAGTACAATCAGTGAAGCTTTACCATAAAAGCTCGACATATTTCAGGTTTACAGATGGGCACATAACTAGAAATCAGGGATGCACAGTGACATTGGAATCACACCAGTAACGGCAGATAATTGCTTAAATAATAATTCTCGGCCTGCGTCTGTATTTAGATTTGACCATTTTAAACTGATATTTGATGATGTATTCATCATACTGCTGTGCTAAAATAGCCTTATTTTTATTTCTTTTACTGCATTTGTACCCCTCCAGCAATAAGTGTAATATTTCTCTGTAGTGCTCACCTGATAGGTGAGTGTCCCAAGTTATACAATTTTTTTTAATATATAGATATATATATAGATATATAGATTATATAGAATTTTATATACTTATTTGGAAATGACTGTTTGGTTTCATGCCCAATGACAGCTGGGATAGGCTCCAGCACCCCGCCGCAACCCAGAAGGATAAGCGGTTTAGATGATGTATGTATGTATGTATGTATGTTTGGTTTCACAACAATACACTGACAGAATGCATCAGTGCTGCCCCTACATATAAAACAGTGAATATGCAATGGAAATCCTCAGTGTATAAGACCAAGTCTATGACAAAGCTTTTCCAGTATTTTTTAAAAATAAAACTATTTACAACAGAGCAGAGGAACTCAAACTCTACATATGTACACATAAGCTTATACAGTATCAGTCAAAAGTTTGGACACTCCTCATGGTCCTCATTTTTCTTATTATTTTCTACATTGTAGATTAATATTGAAGACATCAAAACTATGAAGGAACACATATGGAATTATGTAGTAAACAAAAAAGTGTTAAAAACAATATTTTATGCTTTACATTTTTCAAAGTAGCCACCTTTTGCTTTGATGACAGCTTTACACACCCTGGTATTCTCAGTCAGCTGAATGAGGGAGTCACCTGGAATGGTTTTCCCAACAGTCTTGAAGGAGTTCCAAGAGGTGCTGAGCACTTGTTGGCTGCTTTTCCTTCACTCTACAGTCCAACTCATCCCAAACCATCTGAAGTGGGCTTTTAGGTCTGGTGATTGTGGAGGCCAGGTCATCTGACGCAGCACTCCATCACTCTCCTTCTCGGTCAAATAGCCCTTACATAGCCTGGAGGTGTGTTTGGGGTCAGTGTCCTGTTGAAACACAAATGATGGTCCCACTAAGCACAAACCACATGGGATGACTACCTCATGAAGCTGATCTTCAATGTTGACCTACAATGTAGAAAATAATAAAAATAAAGAAAAACATTGAATGAGAAGGTGTGTCCAAACTTTTGACTGGCCCTGTACATACATTACACAATACACCTTTATACATTCTCAAAAAAATCTGACCTTATGGGCTGAACATAATCCATTTCGCCTACATCTGGTTAAAAGGTTCCTTTTGCACACTAAGAGAGGAGGAGAGCTTATTATATACATCCGTTCATTAACAGTTGGTGGCTCTGGATTGAACCATTTTCTGCTATTTGCCTTTTTGCTAGCAATAGTATGAAAGCCAGTTTCTTATGTTTGCTGTTCCACATTGTGAATGGAATGTTACCCAAATATAAGGAACCGCATTTAAAAGGAAAGTCCTTTCCACAGATAACTTCTACATTTCTATGTATCCCCAACTAGAAAGGAGTGAGAGCCCTGCAACCCCCAAAACATGAAAATGGTCAGCATTGTTTTTCCCAGAGTCTCCAGCATCCTGTACTTCAGATGTTATTTTTTTGTGGGTGTGACAAAAAATGCACAGTATTTTTCCAAGAAACCAGTTTCTACATTTTATAAATGTTTATGTATCAACACTGGCAGCTACAGTCTTTTGCAAAAGTTTGGGCACCCCGGTCAAATGAAATTTTAAAAATAAGTGAAGACGTCCTCTACAGAGAACACACTTCTGCACATTTTAATGCACAGTTACTGTTTATTTGCTGAGTTTAAAATACTGGGAAACATACAACATTAAATGTGGCCTGTGCAGAAGTTATGGCACATAGGTTTTTCCCAGTATGTTAAACATAGCATTTATATTTAAGTTGTCACTAAAATTCACAAAAAATACCCTATTTAAGTTTATTCTCTGTAGAGGATATGTTAACTTATTTTCACCTAGAAACGGAACAAAATGTGCAATTTCACCAGGGGTGTTCAAACTTTTGCATACAACTGTCTGTACATTCAGAATCCTGAATGCAGCCCTACTCCTCATATATCAAGTGACCACCAGGATTATTGGCTCACTTGGGGAATACAGTCGTATGCAAAAATTGGTCAAAATGGTCAAATTGCATTTTTTTCCTGATTTTCCAAGTGAAAATAAGTTTAGTTTGATAAAACGCTGGAGAATCCCTTTAACCAGACTCCTCACACAGAATAAGCCAGGCAGTGACTTCTCAATGGAGATACATTAAAGCTATTAAGAGTGTCATTCAGCCTTGACTCTGAACAGACTTAAACTCTGAGAGAAGCTGCTCCATTGTCTGCTGTTTGATATGTCACGGTCATTCAGTCTAAGACTGTTTTTCTCCTCTCTCTGATTCTCCTCTGTGCAGGAGCGAGCCAAAGCAGAGGCTGTGAACAGGAAATTGAGAGCGCAGCTGGCCGACTTCCACGTGCCACATGTGCTGGGCTACGTTACAGCCAAGGCCTCGCACACCCAGCTGGAGCAGAGCGTCAGGGCCTGGGAGCGCAAGGTGGAGATCACTGAGGTGGGCAGCAAAAAGACCAAAGGACAAAAAAGACACAAATATTAAACAAAAAATCACAAAGGGACTAAGCAACTCAGCTTAGTTGAGAAAAAAGTCTTTTAATATCTTTGTTCTACACACTGAAGATAATTTTATATTTGTAGTATTTACATTACTATTCTTATATTATGCTATTAAGTGATTAGTGATGCACCAATATATTTACATTGTACACATCTGACAATAGCGACAAATAAACGTTTACTAAATGTAGAAATTGGGACTAACTAGTGGATCAGCATGAGGAATCTAACGTTTATTTGTATGGGGTCACAAAAGCACCTATTTATTTGTATGGGGTTAAAAAAAATTACCTTTTGTTGATTGATGTAAAAATAGTTAACACATCCTCTACAGCCGGGGTGCGCAACTCCAGTCCTGGAGGGCTGGTGTCCAGCACAGTGTGGTGGTTCCCCTATTCCAACACACCCACTGAACCTGGCAGTTAACAGCTGAGTTGAATCAGGTGTGTTGGAGCAGTGAAATCACCAAATTGCATTGGACACCAGCCCTCCAGGACCAGTGTTCTCTACAGAGAACACATTTTAATACACAATTACTCTTTATTTGCTAACTTTAAAATAATACTCAACAATAAAGTAAAAAAATAAAACATAAAATGTGACCTGCACAAAAGTTATAGCACATTTTATATTTTATTTTTCCCCATACGTTAAATTTGGTCTTGAACTAAATTACAGGCCTAATGGCAATTGGAAATTTAGGCTTAATCCGAATAATCAGAAATCAGTGAAATATCTTATCATCTGTCAGATGCATGCATATTTATATGTATATATGTATATATATAAAACACCACCACATCAGTTTTACTGCAATGCTGAGAATGATCCACCACCCAAATAATACCTGCAGGGTAAAAGGGGGCTAACAAAGTATGCAGAGAAACAGATGGACTACAGTCTGTAATTGTAGAACTACAAAGTGCACCTATGTAGTAAGTGGAGCTGATAAAATGGACAATGAGCATAGAAACAAGGAGGTGGTCATAATGTTATGCCTGATCGGTGCATATATGTTTATGTGTAGCTCCTGTCAGAACAAAACCTCATATCTCCAAAATGGTAATTTTACAGGAGAAGGAAAAAAACCTGCTTTACTTTTAATGTAAGTCAGTTAAACCAGATTTTTTTTTTCCAAGTAATTTGGAAATCTATCTATCTATCTATCTATCTATCTATCTATATCTATATATATCTATCTATCTATATATATATCACTGAATCCTGTAGTATCATTTTAAATAAATAATGTAGAATCTTGTATTTACGTTACTGTGTGTCTCTGCAGATGGTGTTAAAGACTCACACCAAAGCCTGGAATAAGCTTTGTGCCGCAGCTGGAGCCACAACACTGAACATCAACATCTAATGTTGGGACCTCATGGCCTCAAAAACCTACTGACCATTTAAATTCTTGCCATTTTCAGGATTATTATATATTATTATCATCATTTACAATGATCATTTATTATATTATTAAATATTCTTTATAAAGGATAAAGAAGTTCACAATAAAAGTTGAGTATGTGGGTCAAACAGAAGGCATTAACATCCAACTGACACCAGCATTATTAATGAAAAAGTTTATTAGTTAGTGCTGTGTATATTAAATGCTACATACAGATATTTAGCATGAATGTCACATCCATCGCCACATGAAGTTTTCTTACTAGCTCATCCACAATCTACAATTTGAAAAAAGCTAAAGAGGAGTAAATGTGCCCTCAAGCACAAATACTTTAAAACAGATGACAGGAACTAACACAGCAGGCATGCACAAGGCAGAGCGCAGGGCCACAGAGAAAGGCCAGTCAACTCTCCATCACCTGAAGGCCAGGCCCAGACAGATTCACTCTTACCAACACCCTCCCCTGCGGCCCTGACCCCACCACCAAGAATATAGATATTTATATAGAAATTTTTAACAATATTAATAAAAAAAATTAATATACAATGCAAACGTGAGAACAAAAAAAACATGAAATACATACTTTTTTTCTTTTTTTATTCAAATCCCAACTGCTCTTTCAATCTTTTTCTTAATGCCTGGAGTTGAAAAAAAGCCCCTTGATATCTTCAAACATTGGATAAACACACACTATTAAGATGTAAAATATTTTTAATATATTTTAAAAAAGAAAAGAACGAAAAAAAAACACAATGGAGGCTATTGAAACACCCAGAATCGCCCCTGCTTAAGGCCAAAGTGTGTCACATATACGGGCGCTCCGGTCACACCGGCGCTACTGCAGAACAGCAGAGATTTCACCTCCACACAACACATAATACTGCACAGCCCACAACGGCCCGAACGTCCTCCCGCCCAGAGCCTGCCGATCTACTGCAGGGAACCACAACGACGCAAACCAAAGCTATTACTGTCACTTTCTTCCAAATTCAAATCCTACTACAGGCCAGCATTGAATCAGGCAGCACGTGTGGACGCGAGTTCTGCCCTGTCTGGCGTTCAAGTTCCAGGGTAATGTGAAACATGTATACTGTGGTGGAAAATAAAGCAACACGGAGAAACTACTTATAACATGAACAAAACATTAAAGTAAATAGCCATAAAAATCCATACTATGAGCAAGATCTATACAATAGACCTCTGCGGAAACAAACATGCAATTGAGTCAGCCCTTATAGGCCCTTACACGTATTCCCTTAAATCTTGGGGCAACCTAAATACCACAAAAAAATCTTCATGTTACAAAAGGGAAGAGGGGCGGGGCTTAATCAAGGTACAGTATAAATGCAGGCAAGATAACAGGGACCGGCAGGATTTAAACAGAACAGATTAATCTATACAGACTGTATGGTGCTGTACAGGGAGAACTTACTGGGTTACACCAGCACTAAAGTGAGAAGGCCTACGGCAGGTGAAGAGATTCCCAACACCACTCGATGCGAGAGCAACAACACCCAAACTTCTCATCTGCGTAACGGAGATTGGGCAAAAGACAAACTTTCTCACGACTCTGAAAACACGCCATCAAACAAACAATCGAACTCTACATTTAAGAACCTACAAAAGAGAAATTAAAAAAAGAAAGGAAAAAAAAATATGAATCAAGATAATTACACATAATAAAAAGCTACGTATAAAATAGTTGATGCATTTTAAGAAAGACAATGCAATATCTAAGGACAGGACTGGTAAACATGGAGCATACATACTAACCTATGTACATACAGTAACACATAAAGCCTTTTCAGGTTTTAGGCAATTTCAGGACAGCTGTACTGTTTTTTTTTTTCCTTTTTGTTGTAATATGAACTGTATGTATACAAGAATGAAGTATATATTTCTATATAGTTTCTATATATACGTAGAATCGCAGTGAAATGCAGAGACCGTGGCGGCCACGATGCTTTAGCTGGTTAACAATCTGTCCCTTTGGGGAGGTACAGTACAGTACATTGGTGGGTTGATTTTTTTTTTTGTTGTTTTTAATTTTTTGGTACATACTATAGTTGCCACATCAAAGGGCACACATACTTTGACACACTTACAGACAGTTTCAATAGTTTATAGTAGCACAATATAGGCTAGTCCCCCATCCGTTTCTTAAAATCTCGTCAGCTACGACTAGCTGAGGGGTCTTAATGCAGGCAATATAGTTTCAAGTGGTGACTTGAGTAGATATATACAGTATGTTTCCACTGTTTTTATCGTGAGACTCCTTCATATCCGGAGCACAGCTAGTGACTGGAAAAAAATGCTCCTAAATTCTTAAAATCATTAGAAATTGATTTGTAGCTGCGAATTAAAACCCGACAGATAGGAAGCACGCAAACTATACCCCAAAATGCACTAGCTACTAAAATCCCATAACAGAAATGCTGCGTTATCAGGAGAATAACAGTATAATCGATTCCTAAACAATTCATCACCAGACAAAAGCAGCACACAACCTTTTTTGTTGTTTTTTTTTCCTGGTATTTTTTGTTACTTTTCTTGAAAATTAAATTCAGCACTCCACAGATAGAATGGGGCACTGAGTGCTCTATCTAAAGGTGTTGTTAAACTGAAGGACTGTTTAAGTCACGGTGCTGCATATAGCTTTGAAACAGAATGACTACGATTGGGCCATTTCTTTACCAACATATTGCAAATGGCATTTCTCCTCCTCTCCATTAGCTCACGTTGAAATTTTATGCAAGTTGTATTATTTTGTACTTTCTTCCCATATTTTAAAAAAAGGGAGCTTTTAAACAAAGTGAAAGAAATTGATGCCTCTGATCTCCATCCACTTGAAAATGAATCTTAAGGGTCGAAATGCCTCTTGGTATGAAAGGGGAATACTTATTTATCTGGTATAGGTATACATAAATCATAATGAAGTTATTAGAACATTTTTTCCTTTATTTTTTCATCTTTTTTTCCAAAAGGGAAACCTTTGAAAGTTTATATGACACGGCAACGCCATAAACTGGACAGCTTGTGTTTGCTTTTGGCAGCAAGGTAGAGAAAATGACAGGAGTGGATAGGACTGGAGTGAAAGGAAGAGGAGTTTACTGAATGAGCGAGTTCACGGGGTATCCCCCTCCTTCGGCCGTGTGCTGGACCGTGTGCTCTTGGAGAGCGCCCAGGTCGGCAAAGCGCTCTCCGCACCACACGCATTTGAACTGGGCGTCTCTAGAGTGAACGCTCTGGTGTTTGGCCAAATGCTCACGCTGCTTGAAGCCCTTGTCACAGCTGGCGCACTTGTACGGCTTCTCTCCGGTGTGGACACGCCTGTGCCGGTTCATCTCTGACGAGTACTTGAAGCGCTTCTCGCAGTCAGGGCACTTCAAGGGCTTCTCACGGGACGGGTCACAGCGATGCTGCACGAACTCCGAGGAGGAAAGGAAGCGGCGGTCGCACAGGGAGCACTTGAGCGGCTTCTCGTTGCAGTGGGTGGTCTGGTGGCGCTGCAGCGTGGTTGCTTTTTTGTAAGCCTTGCCGCAAACATCGCACTTGTACGGCTTGTCCGGGTTGGTGGGGGTGCTGGAGGTTTCGCCGCACTTGTGCCGCAGCAGCTCTCCGGACTGGCTGAAGCCCTTGCCGCAGGAGGCACACTTGAAGAGGTTGTCCATACCATGCACGTGCTGGTGGTAGAGCAGGTGGGATGGCTGCAGGAAGCCCTTGTCGCAGAGGTTGCATTTGAAGGGGCGGTCGGCGGAGGCCGTGTGCGTGCGTCTGTGCCGCACCAGAGCGTACTGCTGCTTGAAGCTCATCTGGCAGTCCTCGCAGTGATAAGGCCGCTCCTCCGAATGGGTGCGCTCATGCTGACGCAGGTCGGATGGACGCTTGAAGCCCTTGCCGCAGGTGGCGCATCGGAAAGGCCGGGCGCCCTGCGGCTGGCACTGGTGGTGCAGCAGCTCGGACGACTCCTTGAAGTGCAGCTCGCACATGTTGCACTTGAAGAGGTGCTCGCCCGAGTGGGCATACATGTGGCGCACCAGATGGGAGCGGTGCTTGAAGCTCTTCTCGCACACGGCACATTTGAAGGGCCTCTCTGAGCTGTGCGTACTTTGGTGGTGGACTAGGTGGGACGACTGACTGAAGCTTTTGTCGCACGTCTCACACTTGAAGGGCTTCTCGCCCGTGTGCACACGCTCATGCCGGGTGAGCTCAGATAGATGACGGAAGCCTTTGGAGCACACAGAGCACTTGTAGGGCCTGTATGGGGCCGAGGACTCAAAGGTGGGCTGCCCTGAGGTACCCACGGCGGCGCTGCTGCTGGCTGACGCGCCGTCGTTGGACGGCTGGCCCGGGTTGGTGGCGGACGAGGTGGGGGTGGCGTTGCCAGATGAGCCGGGCCGGTAGGTCTTCTCGCAGATGGAGCATTTCATTGGGTTGCTGCTGTTGTGGGCGTTGTGGTGCTGCGCCAGGGACGTGAGCAGTGAAAAGCCCATCTTGCAAACTCCGCATACAAAAGGCTTCTGCTCCACTTGAACGCACTGGTGCTCCAGGAGATCTGTGGCTTGGTGGAAGATCTTTAGGCACTGTGTGCACTGGAAGGAGCGATCCTGACTCACCATGCACTGGTGCTCATGGGGGTTGGCCAGGTGGGAGATGTCATGGCCGCAGGCTCCACACTTGTGTCCCCCCTCGCTCCCCACCGGCAGGGACGGCTGCTGAGCTTGTGCCGGGTGCTGCTGCTGGCTATGCTGCTGGCTGTGGTGTTGCTGCTGCTGCTGTTGTTGTTGCTGCTGCTGCGACTGCTGCTGTTGCAACGCAGCATCCGGCTGCAGGACGATGCCATAGACCGCACAGCCGAGGGCGTTCTCTGCCCCTGGAGGTATGGTGTGGACGACGGGAGGCGGGGCAACAGCATGCTGCTGCCACGCCTCCGTCATCCGCGCTCTGGTGTAGGGATTCAGCTTGGTGCCGTAGTGGGACCTCTTACCATGGGAATCCAGGGGGAAGGGGTTGTTGGACTGGCCGCGATGGGACAGGTGGGGGGGCAGCGAGGAACTTATTTTGACGGTTCAAGGGACCACCACAAGAGAGAAAAATTTAAAAAGGATCCGTCACCCCAAGGCCCTCGGGAGCACTTGTCGGCCCCAGAAACCTCAGATCACGGCGTGTGTGCGCATCATCCCAGCGGAGAAAACGGCAAGCCAAGTTCTGAAATAGAGCGGCGCACGTCCTCGGACTTCCCTCAGCCTGGTGAGAACTCCTGCACAGAGGGAGCAAGTTCATTACAAAACTATTTTGTCTTTAACATCAACTGAATTAATACTTACAATAAAATAATTGCCTGCTGTCACATAACTTTAAGTTTTTAAAAAATAAATGATCAGGCAACATGCAGCCAAGTGAAGATGAAGATTTAAGATCTAACCAGGCTTAACTGAACCTATCTCCCACAATGATTAATGTACATAAATATGAACCTAAATTATTTTCATTTATTTACTTATTTATTTTATTAACATGGTATTAGGAGCACGACTGCGACTTCTGATGTGGTTTGTTTTGTTTCGTCGTCATATTTAAAACAGGCTTTACACGAACTATCCTGCATTTCAGTCAATCTGATGCTGCATAAAAGCCCCAAACTGCAGTTGCACTTCTGTTGCCGGGGGCTTGTGTGAAAGCTCCCACGCTCCCGATGCACGGAGGTCGGGGAGAAAGCAGCACCTCCACCGCGGCTTCGCTGCATCCATGTTAGGCTGAAAAAAGAGGGCGGCGGAATGGATAGCCCTGCCGAAAAAAGCCATTGTCTCGCTTGGGACAGAAACATCTCTGCCTTTCCACACGCACAATGAGAGGGGGAAATAATCGTGCCTAGTTGGCTAGCCATAGCTGCACAAAGTGTGGGAGCAGCTCAGGCGCTTACGAGAGGCCAAAAAAGATGAAACTTGATGAATTAACTCCGCCGGGTTTCGGCGACAGATACGCATTTGTTTACCTCCCATTACACCGAAACTCAATTTAATTCAGGGCTGCAGAGACTAAACGATAAACGTAGCACGAAAACAGCAACGCGCGAACCGATAAGCTGGTAAAAAGTGGACAAAAGACACTCATTTTGTCCCTTTTTTGTTAATAAAGCTCTTTTGATATCTCTCATCGCAGCGCTAACATTAGCTAACAGGCTAGCGTTAGCCATTCGCCAGCTTCTTGTTCGAATTCCGCCGTTCCACCTTAAAAGGTGCAGCAGTTAAATGGTATTTAAGGTGGAACGGGAAAATTCGAACAAGAAACTGACGAATAGGAAGCCAACTTTAGCCTCATGGCTAACCAAGACCTAGAGCAGAAACTGTGGTGAATTTTCTACAGAAATGCTGTTGTTTACGTACCTGCGTGAAGCGGCGAGATGACTGTTTTGTTCTTGTTGTTTTTTTCCGAGATCAAAGTTTAACGAAACCGAGGCCTAAATCTCATCCGCGGACTTTCCTGGTCGCGTCGAGCCGCAGGCCGCTGCCTGTATTCCGGCTGTAAATTTAAAAACAGAAGCGGTGGACCACATAGGTGTAAAACGCACCGAAAATTCGTCTGGACGTCATCCAAACCGCCCAGTCCCGATCCAAAAATAATCACGAGCGCATTTTAGACTTCTTTGAGCTTCTATCAGCAGCGCTTAGCCAGCGAAACCCCCCTCAACCGCGCACAGGAACCTGAGTAACTCACAATCGCCGAAATTCGATTCAATTTCACGAACCGATTCGTCCGAACTGTCCGTTACAACGAATCGAACGACCGATTCAGCGATTAACCGATTCATAAGACGATTTTCAATTCATTTCAGTTTTACTGTATTACAGGCCCAAACCTACGAGGGCGACATTGGCAGGGAAAAACTCTCTGTAAGCACAGAAAAAAAAAACCAAAACTTTTTTCCTTGTTTGGGTCGCAACGGATAGTGCAGATGTTTGCACACCCAGGTCAAATTACATGTTTTGCTTTTTTTTTCTTTTGATATTATCTTTATTAAGTCTCTCGCAACATAAGAATCATTCAACACACATTCTAAAGAAGGGGGGAAACCCAGCTTGCATACACAAGTGTCTGTACTGACTGAAGCATTTCAAAAGTGGTACAGTGAATTATATAAATGCTCTCGTTGCTATAGTTGAGAGATCTGACCCAAAATATACCAGAAAAGGTTCCCAAATATCATGGAAGATTTTCGTTTTAGAACATTATAGGTTTGTCAAGTAGGCTAGAAATACATGTTTAAAAACAAACCTGTACCAACTTGCTAAAGAGGGTAATTTATCTGTTATGCACTGTAATAAAATACATTTCCTTGCACAGAATGTTGAAACATTGCAGGTTTATTTTCTTAGACTTGTCTGTAACATAATTATTATAATTATTTATTAGTTTTATTGAAATTAAGTTAACACACCCTCTACAAGGATTAAGCTTTATAATGGCATTGTTTGCCATTTTAAGCACACAATGTCTATTTGAAGTCGTACATTAAAAAATTCCCAATGTGTTCAATTCAGCAAATAAACAGCAATTGTGCATAAAAATGTGCAGACGTGCAGAGGATGTGTACTAATCAACAAAACATGTAATCTGAACAGGGCGCACAAACCTTTGCATATGACTGTTGAACACTAAGTGGAGGCTCATAAGATGAGCCAATGTCGTAGGCTGAACATCAATCAGAAAACTGTCTGAAAAAGATTTCAGGCATTACTGATTCCCTCAGACATGCACAGATTGGTACCTGTGAACATTATGAAAACATAGTAGGCAAGAAGTTCTTTGAGTGTAAAAGGAAGGATTGTTTTTTTTGCTCTTTCATAAAGTTAAAGGCCCGTGTCATAGAAAACATAATTTGCCTCAATTTGCGTTCACTTTATATTCCAGTTTGAATTTAAATGATTTTGTGATATCTAGCCCTTTATCACTGCACACTTTCTAACCACAGAGCTGTTATTGGCTGGATCTTTTGGTTGTGGACCACTCTGAATTTGTACCAGTGACACACATACTAAGTTAATTTGTCCGTATATCTCATATGCATTAGTGACAAAAGTTTGGAAACACTGTTTTGAATAGTATAGAACCTGTTTTGGGCCCATATAATGGAAAACATAATTTGCCTAATTTTGGGCCCACATTTTTATATCAGTATGAATGTGAATGATTTTGAGGCGTCATGCCAACACACACACATATCTGCCTAATCAGCCTACAGCAGTTTAGCCCCGCCCATTAACACTGAAGTTGTAAGGCTGCTTTTTGAATGAGCCACAATACAAGGTAGCCTATCAGAGGTTATTTACCTCTATGAGCCTTAAAGGCACAGTAACAAAAACAGCCTGTTTAATTCTAAGGTATAAAAAAAAGAGATGATTTTTGAGAAAATGGTTATTTAGAAACAGATTATGATTGTTTTTAGTACAGTAACTCACACAAACATGATAAGTGGATCTAAAATACAACAAAAATGTAGGACATGGGCCCTTTAAATGAAATACTATTAATATAATTTTAGTAAAAATCCTCAGCGAACAGCACGCACGGTAGATTCAGTTGTTCAGGACTTGTGAATCGGTTCGAATGATTCGGTAAAGTGAACCGGTTCAGAAGAACGATTCGTTTACTACTCGCAAGCAGCATCCTCACCACAACGCACTGGAACCGGTGATATTTTGACCCGAAATAAGATGAAAACTTTGTTTTACGCTTCGTCTATATACTAATAGTTGAACCCTGCTAGTGTGCAGGTAGCTGTTTTGTTGTCTTTAGAAGTATTTGACTGTTATATTGTGAAATCCTCGAAAATGTAAAATCCTAACCATTCCCTTTTGCGAAGATTAATGAGCTGAATATGTGATTGTAATATGTCAGACATCGCATATAGAAGTAAAATTCACATTTCGAATTATTATTTTTATTTATGTTATTTTTTTAGCGCGAATCCGACTAAACGGAACCACTTTAAGCAGTTGCTGTTGTCGGTGGGACCCGTTGGCGGAGAGACACTGTTTGTTTACAGTGTGAGGGACGGTCTGTTCAGTCAGAGTCTGGACTCTTTCTGTTTGTATTTAAATTATTTTTTACGGTCTTTTATATTCATATCAGCGTTAAAACAACGATCGACGTGTATTTAGTTTTACGCTGGGTCAGGTTTGCCTTTAAACATCTTGGTTTTAGATTATATGCTCTGTAAATTTATTAAATCTGCTTTTAAGTATCTTAAATCTGTGGTTAGTCTGTTTTATAGACCTAAGACGCTCCGCTGGGTGAATAAAAGCCATTTTTAGGCCTGTAAATGTCTGTAAATTAAGCGTTTATAAAATGCAGCGCTAATAAAGCCAATAAAGGCCACCTACTGGTGTATTAGCGGAGGAGAAAAGAGGCAGAAGATCCAGAAAGAGAAGGTGAGAGAGGTTTGTTTTCAGCGGAGCCCTTAAGGTGATAAGGTGATTATTTGGTAATAAGGCATGGCCGCGAATTAACATATTAAGTTTCTCATAACTCGTGGCCTCAAGATAGTAATTCATGTACTCAATCTAGTAATTTGTGGTCTCAGCATAGTAACCCGTGGCCTCAAGATAGTAATTAATGAACTCAATCTAGTAATTTGTGGCATCAGCATAGTAATTCATGTACTCAATCTAGTAATTTGTGGCCTCAGCATAGTAACCAGTGGCCTCAAGATAGTAATTAATGAACTCAATCTAGTAATTTGTGGCATCAAGATAGTAATTCATGTACTCAATCTAGTAATTTGTGGCCTCAGCATAGTAACCCGTGGCCTCAAGATAGTAATTAATGAACTCAATCTAGTAATTTGTGGCATCAGCATAGTAATTAATGAACTCTATCTAGTAATTTGTGGCATCAAGATAGTAATTAATGTACTCAATTTAGTAATTTGTGGCCTCAGCATAGTAACTCATGGCCTCAAGATAGTAATTAATGAAATCAGTCTAGTAATTTGTGGCATCAGCATAGTAACTCGTGGCCTCAACGTATTAATTTGTGCCCTCAATATATTTATTTGTGGCTGTGCCTTATTATAAATAATCGCCATGTCACTGTAGGGGCTCCACAGTGTTCTCCCTAAAAAGTGGATATATAGATATAGGGATTCACTAATTATGGCAATTGTGGGTCGATACCGATATCCGTTATTTTTCATGTGCATATTTGCCAATGCAGATAATAAACTTGTATAAAATGTTGAAATTGGGACGACATCTATCTGGACTAGCATTACAGAGAAATGTAACATTTATTTGCAAAGAATTATAAATGCAGTAAAATGAATAAATGCAGACACTTTAGTAGCCACAGTATAATAAATACATCATCAAATATTAGTTTGAACTCAAATACAGATATTTTTAAGTAAACATCGGCTGATACAGATGTTTCCGATGTCACCATGTATCCTTATTTAAATGCATCATAGATACATTAATATCTAGATCTGTCTATCTGTACTTTTCTATAAGAATACATGGCCAAAGGGTCTTGGTGTATGTGCACGCTTTCTTATATTTACATGTGTTGTCCTATTACTTACACCTACGTTGTGCTTCCACTCACTGGCCACTTTATTAGAAACACCTACCTTGCAGGTCCACTATATAGGTGTACATTTACAGACTGCCTCTTATCTGTTGTGCAGTTTGTCAGCTGCTCCCTACCGCATTCATTACTGCTTAGTTTCTGACCACAAGACTACTGTTGACCAGATATTATTGACCATTGCTGGCCACTTATAAGCATCTTGAAGCATGTTCTCTTGTCCACTGATCCACTTCATCAGTGGATCAGTTACCTTGTCAGCATCACTGCCGTGCTGAGAGTGGTTGTCTTATAAGTTAATGTATTTGTATATCTCATATACACTAGTGTTCAAAAAGATTGGAAACACTGTATTTAATAATATTGATCCTCTTTTGCTGTAGATACACATACAAAATGATTCAATTATGATGCTTATATTTTATAGGTTTCAAACTATTTGTGGGAAACTGTAAAAACTCCACATTTTATGTTTTCAGTATGCTGGTTAATTACAGCAGCAGCGGCTCTGAAGAGGAAAGTGAAGATGTCGCTGTTCATAACAGAAAGCGGCAAAGACCAAACGGCAAAGATGTCAGCCCCCCTCTCAGGAAAAGAGAATGCACGGGAGGAAAAAATGGCACGGAAAACAGGTTTGGTGTGTTAATGTGAGAACTGTGAAATCCGCTTCTGTTTGTTTGCTCTGTAAACTGAACTGTTTACTCTTATTTGGGCCTCCAGCGAATGTGTGGAAGGAGCTGTTGAGAAGAGAGAAAGCAGCTCCTGTCAGGCTGTTCCTCGGCTTCCTCTTCCTGCCAGCCTGCTGAACATGTTTCAGGACTCAGAAGAGCAGCATGTGAACGACTGTTCACAGCATGGTGGGCGGCTGCGGTCCTTCCAACACGAGCGGGGCAACTGGGCCACTTACGTTTATCTGCCATGTAAGAATCAGTACATGCAGTACTTCTGTAGAGCTCCTGAGTAGATGATGTATTCGAATGTGAAATGGAGTTGGATTGGTTAGTTTGGTTAGTTTGGATCTCAACTTTGAATGTTGGGGTGGGTAATACGTAAAAGAGTACAATAATAACAATACTTGGAAATTTTCAGATGTCACATATTTTGTAAATTTTGGTATAGAGTAGTGGGCAACAGCGCTGCCTCCTGTGCGTCAGACTGGGATTCAATTCCGCAGTCAGGCACATCTTTTCATACCAGTAATAGTCCTTGGGCAAGACTCCTAATGCTACATTCACCTACACCTGTAACATGATTAAATTGTAAGCTGCTCTGGTTAAGAGCATCGTCCAAATGCCATAAATGTAATATTTTTTTGATGGTTAAAAAGGTGGACTAAACATGTGGACACAATGCACCGTATTTAACAATGATATTAAAATCTATTTGTCATAGAATTTAGGTGGACAATATGATGAAATTATATCATTTAATAATAATAATAACAATAATAATAATAACAATATCTTTATTTATGGAGCATTTTTCATACCAGTGGCAGCTCTAAAGTGCATTACAGACAGGTGATAATATTTTACAGTAATAGACAAGAAGTTATTATGATAAATTCTCATTATGCCACAATATGTGTATATATAATCATAAATCAGAAAAGCATCATCAGTACTTAAAGAACACGGATGTGGTGTCTGTCTCACAAAGCAGGATTTCTTGCTTAGGTAGCTGACTTTAAAGCTACCCTTTGTGAGTTTGGGGGATTTGGAGACCTCTCTGGTGGAAATGTGTAATTGCATGCAGTATGCAGAAGAACATTTTAAAATGTGGTTTGGGCATCGGCCCCCTTGCCAGAGCAGATGAATCTGATGATTGAAAGAATTCAAAGAGAACTCAGTCAAAACTTGGTGAAGGAGCGTTTTGAGTGACTTATCTACTATTGTCATCATATCTTCATCTGTATAATGTTGATTTTGCCTTTGACATTTAAATAATCTTCTTTTTGAGTCTGTGTGTGTGACGTTAATATGTAAAGACGTACGTCGTGGTGTGAAAAACTCCCACCCCGACACCTCTGACTTAGGTGGTTATTTCAGGCTTTACAGGGCGACTCACAGCAGCGCACGCACACTTCTTTCAGTTTTAACAAAAAGTCTCACACAGTGCAGCTTTAAGCTTCGTTTACTCTAACCCTGGATTTTCTGTCTCACAACGGTGAATTACTTTTACAAGGCTTCATTTCCATGACAACTCACCTGCTCCAGGGCTGGATAAGTTCAGGATTTCGTGATGTTTTTGGTGACGGTCACTTAAAAAATGTCGCTTTTCGGCAGAGAAAAGAAATCATACTACAGAAATATCAGGAATATAAAGGAAGTATTGCTACAGTAAGCACTAACATTGGAGCTGTGACGTCAGCGTGGCTTTTTACCGTTATGAACGCTTTACTTTCCACTTATTTACTTAGTTCGGATTCTTTCTCGTACTTTGAAAATAACACTCGCTCCTCTTCATGTTTCATGGGATTGGCTGTTCATCATAAATGATATGCTTTCATGTTTTCATGCATGCAAGGATGAGTCATCTGGAACTTGCATCTAAAACGTAGGAATCCTGTCCAAGGTGAACTTGCTTTATGAGACAGACCCCAACTGCGTGTTACATTACGAAGAAAGCACAATTAGTCCTGTTCAGTTCAGTATATGAAACTTTGGATAAAAATCATTGTAAATATAGTTTTTGTATTAGTGACACTACTACTTCTACTAATGATCAAACCTCAGAGAAATGAAATATTGTGATGCTTATCATGTATATTGTGAAAATATCTTGAGGTATCATGATAGTCAGTGGTGGATGAAGTACACAAATCATGTGCTTGAGTTAAAGTAGAGATACCCAAGGTAAAATATTACTCCAGTAAAAGTACAAGTTCCTCCCTTTAGACCTCCACTTGAGTAAAAGTACAGAAGTATTTGCCTTCAAATGTACTTAAGTATCGAAAAATAAAAGTACTTAAAGATTAATTATGACTAATGTCCTATTACCATTTTTGTACCAAGACTCGCTTCATTAACTCATTTTAGGTGAAAATACTCCAGTGTCACCAGTCTTTTTCATAGAACGTCATTAATTAGTCTGTCACTGAAGGCAAACAATTTAGAACCAAATGGCTCTGAAATAACTTTTTGTGAATCGGCAAAGTTTCGGTTTAAGATTTTTTTTGCAACTTAGTTACAAGTTTAGGTTTAATAAAAACTTTAAACTCAGATTCACAAATGAGTTTTCCTTTACTAAACTGCATCTGTAGGTCTCTGTTCATAAACATAAACTAGCCAAAACTAATTTACTATAAAATCAAATCGTGTTTGTATAAATTCAGAAAAAAGACACGTCAGTCACAACTGCATATGAGTACATATTTCTATATTGTGGTCTGTTTACACAAAGTTAGGTTAGTTCATCATTTATGTTGAATAGACTCTCCCAATATTTAACGCTGCTGCACTGACGTTGAACCGTGTGCTGCACTGGGTCAGTATGACCAACAGGTCAAAACAAGCTCAAAACAAAGGTTGTGCTGTGCTCTGATTGGTGTTCTTCCTTTGCGCCTCTTTCATTTTGATATGTTACGTTTTTATACACACATAAACCAAAAGGAACGACAGATTTCATAATGTAGTAGAGTAAAAAGTAAGATATTTGACTTTTCTTAAGTACAGTAACGAATTACATTTACTTAGTTACTCTCCACCACTGGTGATAGTATAATTTTTCCAAAATGCCCACCACTAAGTAGTACTCTGATTTTGGTATTCAGCATCCCCAGTATACTATATAAAGCTTATTGTAACAGTTATTACTAACAATAATTAATTATCTTGACTGTATGATTTTATGTTATAATGGCAAATGACTCATTTGGAATCTCAGATGAGCCAGAAGATGTGTTCCTGGAGTTGCTGGATGAGCTGAGAGTTGGTGCTGAAGCTCATGGAGTCTTCCTGACCCTGGCAGAAGAGTTTCATGTCAGTGTCTCTAGAACTGTGGTTCTGCGACACCACTGGATCCAGCCGTTTGTGCAGTCTCTGCGCAAGGGCCTCGCACAGTGCAGGAGGTCAGTATTTTCTGATAAAACTAGGGGTGTACAAATGCAATGAAGCATCAATCTGCAGGATTTGATTCAACTACTTTGATTTTGGGATGTTAGAATCGATTACTGTAGCAATAATAAATAAAACATACACTTAATTTTCAGCCAAAATGAACTCCTCAGGATTGTAAAAATGTATAAAAGGTTTTTATTTTTATTGTTTATATCTCACTACGGTGTAAATTAGCATAAATTTAGCGTAAATTAGCATATTCGGTGTATTTTAAAAAGATAATTCTGAGCCATATTGAAATAATTGAATCGTGGTGAAATTTGATCTTATGATGCACTGATGCATCAAATCACTACCTAAAGAATTGTAATTGAATCCTTGCCAGGTCAGAGATTCACCCCCCTGGTTAAAACCCCCTCAGTCTATCACAAGGTCACAAGACATCCATGTTGTATCTAACTGTGATCCTCGTTTTTGCAGTTTTGTATGTCTGGCAGATAAACTGAAGGTGTACACCAATGATGAAAGAACAAGGTATGTTCTCATTGCTTTCTGATCCATCTCAGATCGAAGTCCCCGATCAGAAAGTATCTGAATGTCACAGTGACCCCTTGTGTCCACTGCAGGACTTTTCTCGGGATGGAAATCTCTACAGGCTGTACACAACTACTCGAGGCAGCGAAAAGAGCGGACGAGACCATGGAGGAGTTCAACCTCAGCACCTTCTACAAGGTTCTTTACATAAAATCACAGATTTCATTCAGGCACTGACACAATAGTTCAGTTTTCTTCTCACCCTCAATGCGGTCGGTCAGCAAAGACATTTGTCTGGACAGAGGTACATACAAAGTTCAGGCTTTGAGATGGCTGCAGCTAATGTTTAGCTTAGCCATGCTAATGTACTTTAGTCCATGTTTACAGATAACAGTATGTCATACAGTCTCAGAAACCTGCAAAACTTGCATGTTTATTTTTTTTACATCATTTAAAAACAGCAGCTGTCAATGTGTGAATGGTTCCTGATGAATGAACCAATAGAAATGCTCCAAAATTACTAGTAAATTCTATTCACTTTAACTTATATTAGAAGTTATGAATGTTAACTTTAAGCTTTGAGGTCACTTAAAGGGGCACTCCACAGTGAACAAAATGTTACTATCTCTGCACCTCTTGTGAACATGCCTACTTTCCTCTTACAGCGGTGCTTCAGTAGTCTCTAAAGTGAGCTTTCCAGGTTTAAAGACCAGGAAAACCCCCTTTCTGATGATGTAAATTGAAGGACATACATCTTGAAACAGTACTGTATTTTTCAGTAGCACTAATTCGTCAAGTGAATTATTCCTTTGGTAAAGAAATAGTTTGACGACCAGTTAAGGCAGGCATATTAAACTGGAGACCTTCCGGGCCAAACTGCCGCGGAGATCTCCTCTAGCCCTCTGAAATGTAGTTCATGAAGGCCTTGCTAATTAGCTGACGAGCTGAATCGGGTGTGTTTAATGAGGCAGTGTAAAGTCTGCAGTGTTTTGGCCCACGAGGACTGGAACTTGATACATGTGAGTTGAGGTTAGTGAGTGTTAAACACAAATGTGTTTATTAGCCTCTAGCTCAGCGGCCAGGGCTCAAGATTTGTTCCCGTTTGTGCAGTGATGCACTACAGTAAGCTACATAATATAAATAACAATATTGCACAGGAAAAGGTGATAAATTCACAGTATGTTCTGTAGGTGTGTGAGGTCTTTAGACCTCACACACCTACAGAACATACTGTGAATTTATCACCTTTTCCTGTGTGCAATATAATCAACACTCCATGTGCAATATGTTTTAAAAATATCTCTGTAGTGTAAATATTCTTTAGCTTTCTGTTTATAATTGTTTGTATTGTTAACTCCTAACCGTCCCATGTGTAATATAAACCAGTACCTCATGTGCAATATTCCATGTGAATTTCGGGAAAATATCCTTACAGTGTAAATATCTTAGCTTTATATTTATTTATAATTCTTTATATTGTTAATATTTTTGTGAAGGATAGTGTTTATATTTTTTATCTTATTTTTTACTTATAGTATTATATATATTGTCTATATAGTAACAAGTAACAAACTGTAAAAAGTTTGTTAATTAATTAAGTAATTAACAAGGTTAATTACTTGCTTGTTAGTTCTCTTCTTGTTACTTCTTCTCTTCTTCTTGAGGGCCTTGCTGTCCCTTTGCTGCTGTAACACTGAGAATTTCCCTGTTGTGGGACTAATAAAGGATTATCTTATCTTATCATGTGAGTTTTTGGTTTGATAGCCACTTTCACAACTCAACATTTTAAGGCACATTTAGGCATACAGTTGGCGCAGTTCTAATTAGAGGGGTATAAGCTTCCATTAATTATTTGCTACATTAGCCTCATATCTATAGTGTAAATTTAAAACAAGATACCAGACATGTCTTGGCTGATTGACGTTTGGAATAAGGTGACAGTTGTGTAAATTAGATTTTTTGCTGAATGATCGCTTTAATACTCATCCGTTGGTTTCATTTGGTATCTGGTGTCTCATTCTTCCTCCAGGATCCATCCTTTCACGTGAGCTTGGCCTGGTGTGTTGGTGATCTGGCTGAAAAACTGCAGGGCGCATGTTTATCAGAGCTGCAGGTAAATGTCTGAGCACATAATCATAGCTGAACAAGGGCCTGTCAGACTGCCTTGCTACACTGTTATAAATAAAGGTTCTGTGCTGGTACATTTTTCGTTCATCAAGGTATAAACAATGTAAATGTTCCCTCAAAGGTCCGACTGTGAACCTTAAATAAGTGTTTCCAGGTGAAACATTTGTATTTGTACCTTTTCATAACTGAATGATTTAAAACAGAACAGTAAAATAAAAGCCTGGAGACGAGACGGGGTGTGTGGAGTCAATACGGCTTAGAACATATCATTTCAGTGGATTATGGTTCAGTTATGTTCCCTGACTAAAGGCACTGAGATGTACCCTTGAGGGTACCACCCCAGTGACAGTTTACTACCTTTATTTCTGAGAGTGTATCAGGCTTTCACTCTGCTGACTGAACTGTTATAACCTGTTGACTTAACCGTTGTAACCTGTGTTTATTTCTCTCTGTGCAGAGTCTGGTGGACGGCCATGAAGACGGACCCTTCCAGATAAGGCTGAACTGCAAGGAGCTTCGCTGCAAAACAGGGAATAAAGTCTTTCTCTTCCCTCTGCAGTAACAAACAGGACACTGACACTCTTCGAATGACTTCCATGACTTGATGATCCAGCTTCAGCAGAGTAGCCTTCTGGAAGATGTGGTGAATTTTAGATTTTTATAATGTTAAATAAGGTAATAAAGTTTTAATAAAGTATAACTAAGATACTGGTTTTAACGTCTCTCTCTCTCTCTCTCTCTCTCTCTCTCTCTCTCTCTCTCTTTAAAGTTAGGGGTTACAGGTCGCCCCATTTGGCACAGAGTTTTACCGAAATGCCTTTATCTTGCTGAATGACTGAGACATACGGTCATGTGCAAAAGTTTGAGCACCCCTGGTCAAATTACATGTTCTGTTGATTTTCTAATTGAAATTAAGTTAGTACATTCTCTACAGGGAAGACAGTTTCTATTTATTTACTGAATTTAACAAATTGGGAGAAAATAAAACATAGAAAATGTGCTGTACATTTTGTTTTTTTCCCCCCAATATGTTAAACTCAGTAAATAAACAGTAATTGTGAATTAAAATGAAGGTGTGTTCTCTGTAGAGGATGAGTCAACATGTCATTTAACCAAGGGTGCCAAAACTTTTGCATACAACTCTCTCATCACTATTGTAACAAAACCTTTAATCTCCGAAATGGTAACTTCATAAGAGAAGGGACACTCTTTAATGTAAGTTAATGCTAATGTAATTAAATTTATGCAATGTTATTTGGATAATGTCTATTTATTTTCTATGGTTTTGGCATGACAGTGATGCTGTGTTATGATACGTTTCGTCCTGTCAAAGTTTAAATTTGTCAAATGTTGCCAAAAACAATCTATTTAAAAAGACAGCTGTAGTTTCAATCGTTTGAAATGTGTCTTTAGGTGGATCCCCACTTCAATTCTTCACTTTCATAACTACAAAACATACATATTAGTTTTATAGTAGTTTGTGAATAATTTACAGTAGATACTGAATATTTTGTAGTAGTTCCTGAATAATTTTATAAGATTTTGGTCAATCCGATTGAACACATTCCGATTATATATTAAGACCGAGGTGTTTATTCTCACTCTACTCAACTATTTGATGGAAAAACTCCGTTTACATGCTCACTACAAATAATCTGAGCCAAACTTACGCGCATGTGTAGAGAACCACTTAGTGTAGACGTTACCATGACAACCAGCATCACGTGAGTCCAGTCAGTGAGATGAGCAGCAGTGACTAGTGCTTGTGTTTTTAATTACTTTGAAATGATGTCAGACGCAGGAAAACGTCCTTCACATGTCCTTATTAAAGAAGGCCGAGAGGAAGACGTCGGGTTCTGAGACACGTAAGCTGGATGTCCGTCCCACCGCCGTCTTTTAAAGACCAGAGCATAAACTTCGTCTCCTCTGCAGACCAGTTTCTGCTCCGCCGTGTTGAACGGTATAAACTTTCACTAAGACGCTACGAACATGATCAGAACGTACTTAAACTTTCCGATAGGGAATGTAATCAGATACAGGAGTTTACACGGATATTATTCCTCCATTTAACAGATTATTTACAGGATTACCCACCTCGTTCAATCGAATAGAAACTGTATTCAAATGGCCTCAATCAGACTAGACTATTGTGATTGAGGTGTTTACATGGACGTATTCTATTCCGATTGAGCTGTTAGTCGGATTTTTAACAGATTAAGCTGCATGTAAGGCTAGTAATTGCTAAATAATTGGTAGGAGATGCTGAATACTTCATAATAGTTTCTGAATAATTCGTAGTAGTTAATTATTCATGGTAGTTACCAAACAATACATAGTAGATACTGAATAACTCATAGCAGATACTGATCCAATCATAGTTACTGAATAGTAAGTACTGTAACAACCCTGTAATAACATTGCATGTATCACAACAACGTTCTTTCTCCCCAGATATTTTGCGAGATGCTGAACTGTACATGCAGAGTCCATCTACTGGAAAAACTTGGTGGCTTTTTTTTGCAACATCCTGCACAATCAAACCACAGCAACGCTCAGTTCCGCATTTGAAGATTTTGCCACCTTTTTTTTTAGTTTGCCTGAAAGGCAAACCAGTCTTACAGCATCACACACTTCATTATCCTCTTACTGCTCGAGCAACAGATGAGTCACACACCATTCACTGCTTTACAGAACTTTGTTCATTATATTGAAAATGTCAGTGCACTGAAACAACACACTGATCAGAGCAGGTTCTGCCGTAACAAAATCGGTCCAAGCTCTCTCTACTGGACAATGGTACGGTCAAAGACACCGGTAAAGAGGCTCTCAATGCGTTCATTGTCATTAAAATATAAAAATTGCCCAAGTGAGTTTTTATCCATAAGGGGAGAAAAGGTCCTTCTGAGCAAAAAGGGTTCTGAAAAACAGTCTACAAGATATTCAGTAGTGAATACTTACAAATTACAAATTCAGCAGCCGTGAAAAGGCCTTTTTGTCCCACCATGAAAAGAAAACATTACTTGTTACAGTTTATTTGTTTGTTTATTCATTTCGATAAACAGAACATTGGCAGTTTAGCTGGGGAACATTATGTTCTTGCTTTGGTCTTTGCTTTATGTTAAATGATGGAATAATTAGGCTGGACATTGAAAAAAATCTAAAGTCCTGATTTTTTTTTCCCTGATTAATATTCAAGACTTATAGTTACGCTGCTCACCAGTGCCGACCCCTGGACAAAACCTGTGTTGGGCAACTTTAAAACTGCACATCATCACTTTAAAGGCCCCATCGGTGGAAATACTCTACAGTCAGTCTATACTGTTTTATGACAAACTGTAAAATAAGTGCATGGAAATCAGCAGAGTTTAAATGAACAGTCAAAACAAAAAAAAAAACAACAACTTACAATGAAATATATGATTAGCCTGGCATGCTTGAACTTTCATTCAGTTTGGGGACACTTAACCATTTGACTTTCTCTCATTGGCTGCATTTAGACATTTGTTTTTTCCCTCCACACGTCTGATGTGGGCATATAAAACACAAAAATACAACGTTATGTTTTCAGTTTGGACCACATTCATACATTCAGAAGCCATTTCCAGTGATTACATGCTGTCCAAACACACAAACTCTTCGATTTGAGCACAGCCTGTAATGTGACTGAGGACGATTACAGAGTGAAATGTGCTAATTGATTGGTTTACTCAGCTTATTTGAATGAGATGGAGTGAGGACTTGGTTTATTCTGGAATAAATGTACCTTAATGGCAGAGAGAATTAACGGAATAGTTGTGTGCACAAAGCTGAGAGGGGAGATGTTCTCTTTTAAAGGGCCCATATCATTGAAAAGCTCTTTTATACAAAACATAAATAAAGAGTTTGTTGTAGTATGTAAACACTTAACATGTACCATTCATTGCCCCACTCCAATAACAGCCCATTTTAAATTGTGTTTTTGTAATGTCACAAAAACCAATCCATTTACAAATACACTATATGGACAAAAGTATTGAGACACCCACACATTACACCCACAGGAGCTTTTATGACTCCCAGGCATTAATATGGAGTTGGTCCCCCTTCGCAGCTCTAACAGCTTCCACTCTTCTGGAGAGTGTCTGTGGGAATTTTTTGCCCATTCATCCACAATCTCCGTTCTAGTTCATCCCAAAGGTGTTTGATAGGGTTGAGGTCAGGGCTCTGTGAGGGCCAGTCAAGTTCTTCCACACCAAACCCACCCAGTCAGGCCTTTATGGAGCTGCTTTGTGCACTGGGGCTCAGTTATGCTGGAACAGAAAAGGGCTTCCCCAAACTGCTCACACAAAGTTGGAAGCGTACAACTGTCCAAAATGTTTTGGTGCTGAAGCATTAAGATTCCCCTTTACTGGAACTAAGGGTTCTAGACCAAGCCCTGAAAAACAGCCCCATATCATCATCACTTCTCCACCAAACTTTACAGTTGGCCCAATGCAGTCAGGCTGTTGTTCTTTCTAGATGCTTTCATTTCACAATAATAGCGCTTACAGTTGACAGGGGCAGATCTAGCAGGAAAGAAATTTCACAAACTGACTTGTGGCAGAGGCGGCATCCTGTGACCGTGTCATGTTTAAAGTCACTAAGCTCATAGTGTTTGTCTATCGAGACTGCAAGGCAAGGTGTGGCTGAAACACCTGAACTCAATATTAGGAGGTGTGTCCCAATACTTTTGTCCATATAGTGTATCTGCCTATCAGTTTAGCCCAGCGTTTATAAGGAGTGTTTCAGGGCTGCTTTTTTTTAAATGAGGCATCATACAGGGCAGCCAATCAGAACAGAGGAATTTACACATCGGTCTTAATGGCACAGTAACACAGCCTGTTATAAGGGATAAAGAGAGGTTGAAAAATGGACATGTAAAATTGAATTATGGTACATAAAAACACACGTTATACCTCCGAGAAAAAAATAAAATTCATGAAAAATGAAGGATATGGGCCTTTAAAAATAATTCATTCTACCAGTGTACAGCACAGCCTCTTCAGGATCTGCCACCCAACAACAATGTAAAAAGGTACACCAAATAAGATTTTCTCTTACCAATGAGACACTGTCACTGATGCAAAGCACCTTTTGAGTGAGTTACAAGCCAAATACACAAGGTGCTCTGCATCTAAATAAATAAACAAGACAGAAATAATATTGAACAGTAGTGGGTCACAGGTAGACCTGGCTTTTTCTCCAGTTAAATGAGATGCATTAACCAAAATCAAGCATAAACCAAGTCAAGGTATCTTATTCCTTGCATCCTTTTCAACCATCCAGCTAAACCAGACATTAAACAATAACAGGCTACTTCAAAAACGTGAAAATATTACTCAGCATACTTTTAAAATTTTAAAATTCCTCACCAAAAGCCTCTTAAGTCTAAGACAATATTTTGGCAAGTAACAGTTAACTTGTGTGGCATGCAAAAGAATGCATGAAGACAATGTTTAGAAAGAACAGGTCTTTCTATGAGAAACGCAATGAAGTTGAACTCGCTGTACTCTTTATTAATGAAAGCCAAGAGAACTGAACATTCATTCAAAACACCAAACGATGTGCAAACCGCTCTTCGCTGGAAGCCTCGTCTATATGAACATCTTTAAACATCAGTTTGACTGTATTTGAATGTTTTTCACCTCGAAGGTTTCTCATTTGCGCTGTTTTTCTAGTTAGGAGTAACAGGATAGGAGACCTGATCATGAACTCTTAAAAGTGAAATGGCAAAACAGATTTTTGGAGCAAAATCCCAGAAGAACCACTTTTGGTTCCCTAAAGAATCTTTCAGTGGATGGTTGTTGAACTCTTTTTAAGAGTGTATATCAGCATACATGCAAACTTTACACATTTGGGTGGAAAAATAAGACACTGAATTTAGTCTTTAAAGGGGAATTCCACTAATTTTTCAAAAATTCTGCATAGTTCACTTAGTGAGATGTAAACAAAGTCATTTAGAGTGGTTTGAGGTGAAATGATCCGTTTCGGAGAAAAACGTACTGGCTCAGATTTCTTTACAGTGGTGGTGATAGGAACCAGGGGTCACTATGTCTACAACACAAATACAGCCATTTTATTTACTATCCAAAGCCACCAGTGAACCTCCACGTCTTCTGAGTTTTTATATGTTGATAATGGTAAAATAGTGGTTTAAAAAATTCTTTTTGGACTATTTTGCTCAGTTTCATCTTGAATGGAGTTTATATTTTAGGCCCAAATCTTATCAAGCTCAAAACTACCATAAAACAATGTCTCAGACATCAGGCAGTGTTTTCATATCCATCACTTATAATTTTCTGTGAGGGAGCTTTTAGAGGTGGACGTCTGGTTCCTATCACCACCACTGTGAACAATTCTGACTCTAGGTTTCTCTAGAACAGAGCGTTTCACACCAAACCACTCTGAATGAGTTTGTTTACATCCTAACCTCTTATTTTTATGCAGAAATTGTGTAAAAATCACTGGAATTCCCCTTTAATTCAATCACCAAACAATGAACAAGTCACCAGTGATTGTGCTGGTGCTCCCGAGGACGTCATACTTTTAGAAAAACATTTATTGGTTGTTTTGGAAAGTGAAGTGCTAAGTTCCCTTGGCTGAGCGGCAAAGACTGCAAAAACGTCTCATAGAAAAATCCAGTTCATCTCAAACAGGTCAGCATGCATTTATTGCACATTAATTGCAACAAGTTCCATTCCAGCCTTTAGATCCATGTCTGTAAAAGCTGTGCTGCATCTGGCCAGGCTAACATCAGATTCAGAGGAAACACAAGTGCAGGAACGTCTAACATTCAAAAATGTAACATCTCATTTTTAACACTGGTCATCAGAAGAGGCTCGAAACTGAGATTTTGGGTGAAATTAATAATAAAAAATATAGTAACAACACAAAGATTCACCTCAGCTCTTCAATTCACTCACAGGCACCTTGTTATCAGTCAATGCAACATTTAAAATGGCACAAACTGACTGAACATTTGGTCTAAAATTTATAGTATCAGTATACTTATAACTTAAAAATTTAGGATTTTTAAAAACCCAAATATAAATTGCACTCTATATAGATCGCACATCTATATTACCTCTGCATCATAATCTATCTTCCAGATGAAAATGACTAATCTGCCAATCTCCCTAAACTACCAGATACAGGTAAGATTCACAATCCACAACCAGAGACCATAAAAAACTAGACGTTTTCCCACTCGAGCATCTTAAAACCAGAGAGTCGGAAGTGGTTAACCTCACATGTAAAAACAGAACAGAGGCCTTTCACTGCCAGGAAAGTGAAAATTATCCTTGATCGTTTCTCCAAATTAAAGGGGAAGTCAGAGCTGGACAGTTTCTGCTGCTAACACAATAATGCGTGCGTCAGGGTGAGAAGAGCACAGACTTTATGTAGGCGACGGTGGTGACGTTGAGGAGCATGTCCACGTGCTCGTTCCCCGGCAGCTCCAGCAGGTGGACCGGCTGTTTCTGTTGCTCCTTCCAGCGTTTGCACTGGATGGCGCTCAGCATGTTGACTGTTCCGTCGCCCTCACCGTTCAGCACCGTGCTGGGCTCCGCGTCCGGAAACGTGGTGTAGATGTAGCCCTGCGCTGTGGGTATCCCTGTCCCATACAGACAGTGCACGGGCACCCCCGGGGCCTCCAGCGTGCTCACCAGTGGCTCCGTGTCCTCGCGCATCGCCCAGCCATCCTCAAAGCCGATGTCCTTGAAGAAGCGCTGGTAGTCTTTGATGGTGTAGTTGGCGGTGGGGGTGGACACCAGGACCATGTCGCTGGGCCATGTGTGGGCGTATGGGAACAGCCAGGCGGTGGAGACGGCCGTGCGCTGCTGAGAACGGATCTTCAGCGGACTGATGACTGGAATGCGGTTATTATCACCTGGAAGGGAAGAGAAGCGTGTTTAAAGAGGAAGTAATTACATTTAGTTCAGTTACTACAAATAATACATTTAATAAATCCTATAAATTTAATAAACTATATACTATTTAATAATAACAACAACAACAACAACAACAACAACAACAACAACAATAAAAGCCTAAAGTTTAAGGGAGTCACAAAAAGAAATTATTATTTATATACTTTTCCATTTGTTTGTGTATTAAATTACAAATAATGTATGTGCATCTGGTGGGGTCCGAGACCACTAGGAAATTGCTTCTATTTTGCATTCCTTTCATAATTAATACAACATTTTTCATTACAAATTATCATCCTCATCACCAAATCTGAGTTAAAAGTAGAATTTGATATTTGAGCATTAATTTCAGAATTTTCTTAGTAACTGGTTTGTACTTTAGCTTTAATGACAGTGTGAACTTGAGCGCTCCTTAAGTTTGTGTAAAGGTCTCTGGTCAGTAAATGAAATTCACATGATAGTCGTCTGAACGTGAGCTTCAGTGGAAGAAAAAAATAATCTGACCTTTTTAAACACTGGACTTAACAAGAGCAATATTACAAATTTGCCTTATTTTGCTTTGAAGGTGATCTTGATCTGTAGTGCAGTATCTTGAATATGTATTCTTTACTTGTCAATTTTTGTGTGTTTTAAATTTGATAACATTCTAAAACCTTATTATTTATTTCCATCTTTAAGTGGAAATTATCCCAGATTTCCAACGTGGCCTCAGACTTTTGGGCCCCACTGTGTGCAGAAGTCTGAACACCCCTGGTTAACACATCCTTTACAGAGAACAAACTTTCTGCTTTTTTCCAGCTAATTTTAGTGCATAATTTCTAATATCTCTAATGTAAAACTAAGAAAGCCGGCCCTTACCGCTCGCCATAACCCTCAGCGTCTTGGCCACACCTGCCCACGGTGGACCCAGAGACACGAATGCTTTGATGTATTTGTCCTTCCAGGCCTGTGGCTGGTGGTTGAGGAAGTACAGTGTGTACATGTTGCCCATGCTGTGAGCTATGAGGACCACCGGACCCCCGTACTTCTCCGCCATTTCCTCAATCATCAGCTGCAACTTCAAGAAGTATTCCTTATTCTCGTCTGTAAGAATGAATTAACCATGTCATTATTACAAAAACAACAATCTCATCAAGGAAAATCAAACTCCTCTTGCTTTACTGAGAAAAAAAAAAGATTTGACGTAGTATGTAAACACTGTTGAAGTTTCAAAAAGTACTGTTCACTCCCCAGTCCGTACAATATCTTGTGCCGCAGGACTAGTTTTCAGTGTTGTGTGCGGGAGCGGGCGGGCAACCAGCCCACTGTAGGCGGGAGCAGGACAAACATGCATGACTAGAAATCTAGCAAATTTATGGATCGCCTAAATAAAGTAGAACGATCACTAAACTAATATATATATATATATTTTGCTGGGCAGCTGTGGCTGTCGGACTGAAGGCTCTGCCGTCTCTGTAAGCTACCAGAATTTGTGTGTTGTTCACGTGATCGACTGCTTCGCAACTCTCTAGAATGACTTCATTCATTTTAACTGTTTTAAATATATATATATATATATATATATATATATATATACATATATATATATATATATATACACACACACACACACACACACACCACATACATACACACAAAAAACAGTCCCGTGCAGACATTTAGTCCAATTAAATCCAGTCTGAATTCATTGAGGTCACGACAAGCATCGCATTTACATATATCCACCTACTCAGCACTACAACAGTTTAGCTCCACCCATTCACACTGAATTTATAAGGAGCACTTCAACCCGGACTGCTTTTTGAATGAAGCACGATATAGGGCAGCCAATCAGAACAGAGCTCAATTACATATGTTGGCATAGTAACAAAAACAGCCTGTTTAATTCTAAGTGAAAAAGAGAGGCTGGAAAATTGATAAAAATGAAATATGACTTCTTGGCACAAAAACAAGTCAAACGTCATACTATAATAAAATATAGGAGATGGGCCCTTTAATTAAACATATTAATTAAACATGCAATTTAGAATAAAACTTCTCAAATCTATAAATCAACATCCTATGGACCCATGTATGTTCTTTTTGGATGTCAGTGTTGGTGGAGGCAGCTCACTGGATTCTGGTCCAAGAAGATTTCCGGAATATACTTAAGTCACAAGTGATCGAACGTGAGACAATGTACTCACTTGGAGCTTTTCTCCAGTCATACGGCGCACCTCGGACATCTTCATCTCTCGTATAACCCCACTCCACCATTGCCTGCACTATAGTGAAGAAATATATACCTACAAACAAACAAACAAACAAACAAACAAACAAATAAATAAATAAATAAATAAATAAAGCACCAGGATAATGATTTTACTCTTGAAAACCTGCTTTTAGCATTGACTGTGCTGAACAAACATTTGGAACTCACCCACGCTACGTTTGCTTGGGTCCAGATATTCTAGGCCGAAAGTCTGGCCAAAGCCGGGCACTCGGACGTCCACACCCGGAGGAGCTTCCGTCATATGAGTGGTGCGATTGTAGATCAGCCTGGTGCACAATACAAAGCAGAAAACACAAAGGGTTTGCGTTTTAGGGCTGTATTCAGAATGCAGTTATTACATGTTTATAATATAGTTATATGAACTCTATGCTGTATTTGTCATTGGGACATCAACAAGCAGGCCTTGAACTTCTGCTGTACAGCTGGTGAATAATTAACAGTAGTTATTCAATAAGTCACTGAAGATATAGAACAATTTATTGTAGTTCCTGAATAATCCATAGTAGACACTGAATAATTGACAGTATTTACTGGATAATTCATACCAGATGTTAAATAATTCGCAATAAACACTGAATAACATAGTAGTTACTAAATAATTCACAGTAGTTGGTGAATAATTCACAATATCACAGACATTGGTAGCAGTGGGTACCGCTGTCGCCTCATAGCAAGAAGGGCCTGGGTTTGATTCCCGGCCGGGCGACCAGGGTCCTTTTTGTGGTGAGTGTACTCCGGTTTCCTCCCACAGTCCAAAAACATGCAGTCAGGCTGATTGGACACTCAAAATTGCCCCTAGGTTTGAGTGTGTGTGTGAATGTAGATGTCTGTCTGTCTGCCCTACGATGGACTGGCGTCCTGTCCAGGGTGTGTCCTGCCTTCCGCCCAATGACTGCTGGGATAGGCTCCAGCCCCACCGCGACCCAGAAGGCTAAGCGGCTTAGAAAATGTGTGTGTAAGAGGTACTCAATAATTCACAGTAGCTACCAAACGAGTTTCAATATTAATAAGTGAATAATTAGCCTGAAGCTTTAAGAGTTAAAAACGAGGACCCGAAATCAACAAAACATCCTTTTCAGACTGATATCCTCATCTTAAAGGAACTCTCGAAGCTACGAGGCTAATGTAGCTAAAAAGTGCCTGAAGTAATGTAAAGTCCCCCAAATCTTTTTTTTAAACAGACGTCCTTTACACTGACCTCGGAGCACAAGGGGAAGAAGCAAATTTCAGGCATCAAACAGATCTTCACTGACCGACCACATTTGAGGTACCTACTTTTTCGACAAACCTTTCCTTTAAACGACGCACGTCATGCCACTGATCTGTTATCAGAGCTTGGATGTTCGGATGTATGTTTACAAATACATGCAAACACCACTGTATAGTCTTTCATCATCAGTACAGAGTTTCCTCCTCCGCATATTTTCACACATCTTCATACGTGTCACATATATCACATTCCATCTCTAAACACTGTCGTGCTCTCGGTCAGACAGCTCTCTGAAGCCTGTCGTGCGAAGCTGAATGTGGTGTTGGACTGAAATGATAAACATGCTTGAGGGTTCTACTTATTGTGCAACGAGAGAACGTCAAATAAAGCCAGAAGCAGGAACCCAACGCTTGCTAAATCTCACCTTTGTTTTCTTCCCGGTTTTAGATTTTCTCAATTTCTTTAGAAGAACTAAAACCACAGGGGCTGTGGTGAAACCTATGACAGCAGCTGCCCTGTTTCAGCACCAGTAAGACTGAAACAGTGTCCTTTTAAATTGCTCAAATTCTGAACATAATCCTATCTGCATGGCAAAGTACCTGCGGTCATCACCGTCATATCAAAACACTGCGACTCGATTATTTTAATTTATTAATTCATGTATTTACTTAAAATTTGACTTTATTTAATTTAAAAAGTTCTTTCTTTTTTAATTACTTCATTTGAAAACCTGCTGTCTTTAATGTAGTCATGTTATAACAGAAGTGTAGCGGGAGGAACATGCGTGAAACCCCTCCTTCTTCCAATCTAACGCCCTATAAATTCACATCCTCACTTCCATTCCTGTGAGGAAGTGTTCTCAATCCCCACCGCCACCCCATCTCCTCCCTGTTCCTCAGTCATCAGTTCTACTACAGCTATGAGGGGGTCCGGCCTTCTACAGGCAGAAGCCCAGAACTCCAGCCCAAGATCTCAGAGATCTCCCCCTCCCTCAATCAGTCTTCCCTCATACTACCACCACCATGTTGAAGGCATGGTCTGAACTCACGAAGAATGGACCAATAGGAACAAAATCTTGTTACATACATTTACAGTTCAAAGTTATCTTTACAGTGGTGGTGATAGGAACCAGGGGTCACAATGTCTACAACATAAATGTAGCCATTATATTTATTATCCAAAACCACCAGTGAACCTACACGTGTCTTCTGAGCTTTTATATGTAATGTTGATGATGGTAAAATAGTGGTAAACCAATGTTTTCTTTGGGAACTACTTTGTCTCACAGCTCCCTGCATGTATCCCTCCACCAAGGGTTACTTAATAAATACGTATAAGGGTTATATGGTTCTGAAATGCTTTGATTATCACTGAGGTTTTACTGCAGTATATCATAAAACCGGTAACTGTCCCATCCCTAATGTGACCCACGGTCAAACGCTGAGCATTCAGATTCTCACCTCATGTTATCAATCCAGCAGTCGATGGCTACGGGCACCAGCAGCTCCAGATTAAGCCACAGCGTGAAGTACTCCTCTGTCTTCTTGTAGCAGATGTAGTGGACAACACTGGGCTTGTCCAGCTTTGCCTCCAGCTGGTTCCCAAGATCGCCTGGAACTGCAGAGCAACAATGACCAAAAGAAATGTCCAGTTAGTCATTCACATGTGTACTGAGCTGGGTTGGCTGTGCTGAGTTGAGAGCAGGTTAGAGTTGTTTTCTCTTGGCAGGTAGCTCAGATTATACAAGCTATAAACATAAATTAGATGCAATATAATTACATTTACACTACCGTTCAAGTTTGGAATCACGTTTGATTCATACAAAACAATTCTGTTGCAGGTGGATGTTTAAAATGATTCTATTATGACGCTTAAAATGCTACAAAATTAGTAGGAAAGAAGTTAAGTGTGTCCAGAATGATGAATATGCCTTACACCTAAAAAGTGGTGATCAAATCTCAGGTAGATAACTTATCAAGTAATTACTCTAATTACAGTCTGTTGTTTGTCATTTAATACTTCCTGGCGAAATATCCTAAAATACCTTCTGCTATACAGCTCATAGCATTTTAAACTTCACTTTATACGTTATTATTGAATAAAATAACATCACCTATAAATATGACAAGTGCTTCCAAACTTTTGAACAGTGTACATATGTAATTACATTTACATACAGCCGAATATACACTCACTGTACCTTTTATCAGCTCCACTTACTATATAGGAGCACTTTGTAGTTCTACAGTTACAGACTGTAGTCCATCTGTTCCTCTGCATACTTTGTTAGCCCCCTTTTACCCTGTTCTTCAGTGGTCAGGACCCCCATGGACCCTCACAGAGCAGGTACTATTTGGGTGGTGGATCATTCTCAGCACTGCAGTAACACTGATGGTGGTGTGTTAGTGTGTGTTGTGCTGGTCTGAGTGGATCAGACACAGCAGTGCTGCTGGAGTTTTTAAACACGGTGTCCACTCACTGTCCACTCTATTAGACACTCCTACCTTGTCGCTCCACCTTGTAGATGTAAAGTCAGAGACTCATCTGCTGCTGCACCGTTTGTGTTGATCATTCTCTAGTCCTTCATCAGTGGTCACAGGGATGCTGCCCACAGGACGCTGTTGGCTGGATATTTTTGGTTAGTGGACTATTCTCAGTCCAGCAGGGACACTAAAGTGTTTAAAAACACCAGCACAACACACACTAACACACCACCACCACCACGTCAGTCTCACTGCAGTGCTGAGAATGATCCACTACCCAAATAATATCTGCTCTGTGAGGGTCCATGGGGGTCCTGACCACTGAAGAACAGGGTAACAAAGTATGCAGAGAAACAGATGGACTACAGTCTGTGATTGTAGAACTACAAAGTGCACCTATATAGTAAGTGGAGCTGATTAAATGGACAACGAGTGTATAAACAAGGAGGTGGTCATAATGAAGTGCTCAGTGAGTGTACATGTATAATACAGCAAAAATAAATAGCTCCTGAAAATGTTTCCATTTAGTTTATTAGTGCATTTAACATTATAAAAGCATGTTATCTGAATATTGTGCATTTGAATATTTGAGACTTTAGAAAGCAAAGTGGAGCTTTGATCTACTCAGACTGGTTTCTTAGCAGCACAGAAGTGCTTTATAGTCAATGTGAAACAGTAACCACAAGCCAGTGTTAGCCTCGAGCTAACACACAAGCCAAGAGCTAACACGTTTGCCACAATACAACACGATGTATTATGAGACAGTACAATGTGGTATTGTACTGTCCTAAAATGTATTATAGGTATACTATGATGTATGTATTAAGCTTTTATGCACTTAAAGGGGAATTCCACTGATGAGCTTAATTCAGTGTTTGAGATTGAGAAGCCATTCAGAGTGGGTTCATGTGAAATGGTTCATTGAAAAAAGACTCGGATTTCTTTACAGTGGTGGTGATAGGAACCAGGGGTCGACTTATCTCCTATCCAGAACGACCGGTGAACCTACAAGTGTCTGTGTTTATATCGCTTTTGTCGGAAGAAAACCTCGTATCTCCAAAGCGGTAACTTTACAGGAGAAGGAAAAAACCTACTTTACTTTTAATGTAAGTCAATGCAACCAGACTTTTTTCCACGTCATTTTAGGCCGTTTCTTTTGGTCCGTTCATCATGAAATTTACACAGTGTAAAGAGCAACAGGCGTTTTCAAATTATGTCAAAAACTGAAAAATGTCAAAAATGGAGAGAGAGAGAGAGAAAATGTCAATTATCCGTGTAGAACAGTGCTGCAGCTTTCACAATCATCTACAAGGCATTCACACTGACCGTATTACATTCTTCACGTATGATCAGTTTATGTCTGATAAGTACACTCTGTGTCTAATCTTCTTATCAGCTGATCAAACACTCAAACGATGAGGTCAGCCTGATGTCTCTCGCTGTGGTCAGAACTACCATTTACTTTAAAGGCTCTGGTCTGTTTGTGAACACGAATCATGGCCTTTCTGTGAGAGCTGAGACCACAAACTCAAAAGGAAGCTGGAGGATTAGCTCCTTTTCACTCCCCCTGCTTATCAGCACATGTGCAAACAGCAGCCTCACGTCAGATACAGCGTTTGAGATACTTTTCATTGACTTGATCATTTCAGTTAACTTGCTCCAGTCTAGTCATATCTTCTTGTCACTTCTCTCAGACAAGAAAGTGCACAGTAGCTTTCAGACCATTTCACATTTTTATTCAAATAAATTCCACCTTCCAAAAGCACGAAATGCCCAAATTACAAGCAATTACCTGAAACTGAAAGTTTCCTACAACAAAAAGGCTGTAATGAGACCCCAAATCATTCTATTATTTTTGGACAAATGGTAATTTTGTCTCCACTGAGCACTTATTTGTACCCGTTCAGTACACTTTTACTATATTTTAACACCGTGTGTGCTTTTCTCTGTTTTTCTGATTGAAAAAATATAAAATTATCTGGAAAAGTATAATTTAAAAAGGGAATAAATTTGGTAATTTCCCAGTTTCAAATGTTAAGTTTTCAATTATTTTTTATTTAAATTTGGATAGAATGGCCTACAACATGAACAACTTATTTGCATTAAGCCTGTTTCTATCAAACGTCTCCACTGTACAAACTTTTGTGGCAGTTCTCAGTTAAAAGTTCGTTCATCAGTAGGTTGTATTTTTTTACACTGGTGACTGAATTTCTACAGGATTCCAATAAAAAAAATCTTATAGTAAATTTAGAAAATATAGGCTACTGAACAAGTACTGTATAGTCACAGTCATGCAAAAGCCTTGTATCTCAATTTTTGGCTTTTTTTTTTCTTTGCATAATTTGAAAACTTCTGTTACCCTTTGAATTGTGTTAAAATTTCAGGATGAACAGACCAACAGAAATGGCCCAAAAATAACTTAGAAAAAAATCTATTCATATTAACTTCCTTTACAAGTTGAGAATGTTTTTCCTTCTCCTGTAAAGCCGTATGAGGTATGAGGTTTTGTTCTGACAGTGACTATATCATTAATATAGTAATAAAAGACTATATACTATTACTACAGCAACATTATATGGAAAATTATCATTGTATATTATATCGGTACTAAACACCACCATGGAATTGTCAGAGTTTCTAACAGAATAACTTCAGAATTTTGATCAGAGCTTCTTTAAAAGAGTCATTTTCTAAAAAGGTAGAGCCATGATGAAAAAAACTTAAAGACTGTCCGTGAAACTCTGTGAATGTCAGCAAATTTGCATTTTTAACCAAGATTGAATCTCAAACGGCTCCTGATTCGCTATATAGTGACACTACAAAAGTCATGCATCTATGACTTCTACAAGGGATGCATGATGCCAATTACTTTGGCAGATATTTGCTCAAAATCATCGAACAGATGTTTTAGAAATTATTTAAAGCTGATATTTGATTTCTTTTACACAGGAAAAGCAGAATGTTTGTGCAACACTGGGCTACCTTGCTAAATGTCATTTGATTTATTTTGCTGCATTTGCAATAATTAATGTTACATTTCTCTGTAAATCAGGCTACCAGATGAATCCAGTCCAAATTTGTACTGCTAAATCTTCACATATTGGCATCAGCAGATATGTACAGAAAAATGACAAGATATTGACCCACAGTTCCCAAATTGGTGCCTCCCTAGCTTCTACACCCAGCCAGCCCAAATCACCTTCTATTAGACGTATAATTCACTACGTGGTTGTTTCATGACATACATAATGCACTACACAGGAAGCATTGAGTCATTTGAGATTCAGCCAACACAACAATAAAAAGGGTTTCGGTTTAATGGGAGGGCTGCACTAAACAGACACACTCATGCGTGATGAGCTGATCTCGCAAGAATCTGACCACAACACATTTTGTCACTACAGAGGCCAGTCAAACCTGCACAAACATTTCTTGCCTTTTTTAGTCACACAGGGAATGATAGGTGTGCAAAACCACACATAATGTAACTCCTTGTTGTTCAAAAGGGGAATTTCACCAATTTTCCAAAATTTCTGCATGTTTAAATGGCTGACACGTCAACAAAATCACTCAAGAGTGGTTTGGTATGAAATGATCTATTCAGAATTGTTCAGTGTTGGCGATAGGAACCAGAAGTCCACCTCTAAAAGCTCCCTCACAGAAAGTTTTTACATGAAATGGTTATGAATTCACTGCCTGATGTCTGAGACACTGCTTCATGGTAGTTTTGCTCTAAAAACATATTTTAATCAATTTATTTGATCCATCCATGGTGGAGGGATACAAGAAGGGTGTTCCAAGGCAAAACAGTCCCCAAAGAAATCTTACTTTTCAGACTTTCCACTCTTTTACCATCATCAACTCAGAAGACACGTGGTTTTCAGATATAGCTATAGTTGCGACCCCTGGTTCCTATCACGACCACTGCAAGGACATTCTGAGTCACTGAGTTTCTCGACAAATGAATCATTTCACATCAAATCAATCGGAACAACCGTCTACATCTCAAGGACTGAATTATATAGAAATTCGGAAAAATTGGTGGAACTCCCCTTTAAGTCGCTTGTAGCCATTGGTTTTGCTTAGTCGTGACTTTTCGCTGACTTTTCTCCAACTTTTCTCGCTTTCACTTTCAAGATTTCAAATCCTCCGGGCATTTTCAGTCTCCCGTGATCGCTGTGTTCTCAAATTACTCTGAAAACTGATCGGACTTGTTCTAAAAATCTGAATTCCCTTCAAAACAGTCCTGAACGAGTCACACTTTTCCCCACCTCGATCATATGACCGCATGTCATATGAGCGTCCTGAGAGGCGCAAATCAACAAGAGGTAAACATTAACTTCAGCAAAGCTTCTTCACTTCGTCCACCACGTTTTGTGCTTGAAATGTCCCCAGTTTAGACTAACCACGGGTTCCAGTTCCCCCTTTTCCCCACAAATCCCACACTAACATTAACAGTAACCGGGGAACCTGGCGTTAGTGTGGTCATGCTAGGCCAGCAGCCTGTGGATGTTGCGTGGTGAGCCTGATTACTCAGCTAAAATACAAGAGGATAAGACGGATTCAGCTCTTCTGAAATACAGGCTGTTAACTAGTCTGTTTATCTCAATCAGAAGGACGAAGCTGAAGTCAGCTGTTTATTCGCCAGCTTATCGTTTGAATGTTCCCGTTCCACCTTAAATGGTGCAGCAGCTGCAGCTTCGTATCAGGAGGACGTTTCACAACTGAGAATAGTTGGTTGGCTCTTCTCAAATGTCAGAAACGCGACGTTTAGGCTGCATGAGACACAAACCAGCCTGGGGACCTTTTATTTTCGCCTTAAATTGCCCACCTCATTGTGAAATCCTGCTTTCTGAGACGCCCCCTCGCTCATCATAAACATACCAAACATGTAAACAAACAGCTACCATAAGAAATTGGTTCTTATTCTCCGCTTTCTATTCGAATTTTCCCGTTCCACCTTAAATGGCGCAGCAGTGTCCATGCAGCAGCGTTGGAACCGAGTACATTCGCCAGAACGTAACTGCCGCACCATTTAAGGTAGAACGGAAAATCTGAATGAAAAAACACTTGGTTATCCCAGCTTTTTAATTCTGTCTTCCTCTTCAGATTTTCCGTTCCACCTTAAATGGCGAAGCAGCGGCGTAGCAGTTTACATTCGCCAGAGGGTAACTGTCGCACCTTTTAAGGTGGAACGGAAAATCTGAATTAAAAAAAAAGACAGTTGGTTATTCGCCAGCATTTTAATTCCGTCTTCCTATTCATATTTTCCGTTCCACCTTAAATGGCGCAGCAGCGGCGTAGCGCTTTAAATGGGCCAGAATGTGACTGCTGCACCATTTAAGGTGGAACGGAACATCCGAATAGGAAGGCAGTTGGTTTCCTATTCGCCAGCTTTTTAAATTCGATTATCACTTTCCACCTTAAATGGCGCAGCAGCGGTAGAGCAGTTTAAATGGGCCAGCATGTGACTGCCGCACCATTTAAGGTGGAACGGAAAATTCGACTAATAAAGCTGAACTTAAAAAGAAATCTGGCAAACTGGCTACGCTGCCAACTTCAGCATGTTCAGCCTCAAAAGTGGCCTTTAATGTGTGATGTTTTACCGGGCAGGGCATTAGGAGAAGTCCACTTACTCAGCACTACAGGTGGTCGGTCCGAGCAGGGCTTCGAATCGGAGCATTTTAAGGACGCACCGGAGGCGAAGCAGAGCAGCAAGCACAGCTGGAACGAACCGAGAAGAAACCGGCACAAACAAACCATCTTCCAGTGGACCAAATCGCGGCTTCGGTGAATAAATAACTGTTGGCTAACTCGCCTGGTGACAGAATAAGGCCATGGTGAAAGGCTGAAGCGAAAACTACCCTGTCGGACCGCTGTTAAGCTCACAGACCGTGGACTTTCTACACAGAACAACAACAACCGGAGTTTTTAAACGCCGAAGCCAGGCTGCGTTAAACGCTCGCCGATGTCATCGATTCGGGTGGGCGGAGTTAGGGCGCTCATGTGCTTATGGGGAAAATGCTGATTTGTGGTGAGCTGCACTTTATGATCTTTATAAATGGAATAACCTGAACTTCAAATAAGAAGTTATAAACATGTAAAGCATAGATTACTGATCAGTAAACTAGAATTTTGGTCACATTTTTGGTTAAAACAACCTTTTTTTTTTTACAAGTCAAGTCAAGAGGCTTTTATTGTCATTCCATCCATGTACAAATACACAGTGGAATGAAATTATGTTCCTCCAGGAACAACGAGGTGCAGCAAGGAACAAAAGAGTACAAAGTGCAAACGTGCAGACGTAAGTGTGCAAACAAAAAATTAAACTAGAAACAATACAATAAATACGATAAATTAAACAGTCATTAGACACAGTAAACAGACAGGACAGTGCAGCGCTGACACAGCACTCATTTCTGGACATGAGATAGGGTTGTGGAATAAGATGCAGAGATATGTAACATGCTGTGATCTGTGAGTTTATGCAGTCAGATAACATACATAAACACAGCAGTTACTGAGGTAGTAAAACAGTGTAAACACAGTATTAGCAGCAATATTCCAGATAGTGCAAGTAGAGCATCAAAAGAGGTGTGTGTGTGTGTGTGTGTTTGTGTGTGTGTGTGAGGGGGTATGCAGATCAGTCCTTGTAAGTTTATTTTTATAAAGTAGGTTATTTTTAAAATGGCGAAATGTATTTTTTTCTTTCTACAGTGGAAACCAGTCAGTGTGGATGTCCAAAAAAGTACATTTGAAAGCCTTTGCCTTAAACAGATTGTTTTGTGGATTGAAAAAGCTCAATATAATCTTCCACTATAGCTGCGTCCAAAATCGCACACTACTGTGCTATACATACTAAACCAATGAATGGACTACTAATGGTGACGTACTACTTTTGCCATACTATTTAGTGTGGCAGCATGAGGTTTTGGACACAGCATCTATCTCACATCACTGTTTGTGCGAGTATCAGAAGCAGAGTTCGAAAGCAAAAGCAGCTGCCAAGATCAACCTGAGTAAAAAAGTCTGAAGTCCAAAGACTCCTGACCTACAGTGAAAGGTCTCAGTCTGCTCAACATCTGTCAGCTAAGTAACTGAAGTTTTTACAGCTCTATTCTTCTCTTTTTGGTCTAACATAAAATGCTAAAGCTGAAGGCGAGCAGTAAAGCAGTCCAACAGCCGAACCAGCACAACAGAGTAAAATTAAACCCCAAAAAAGGAATCATTTCCTCATAAAGGTGCTTGAGTAGAAGTAAAACCGTTATCATTGGAAAATACTTAATAAAGTACAAATCTGTAACTGAGGAAATGCACCTAATACCAGCTTTTCAGCTGCATTTTACTTACAAAAACTGGTTTGGAGCCAAACATGGTTAGCCTGATAATAATTATGCTCTAATGAGAATCATTGCTACAGCAAACCTCATGAAAATACAGCATTTAAGGCAGTCTGGGCAGAAAAAGTCACTTGTTTGTTACTTTATTACCTTATTAAAGTTTAATTAAATGTATAAATGTTAAGATCTCTGTCCAACTGAAGTATTTTTGGACTTTGTAGTGGGCACACTTTTCACCAAGTTTAGATTGAACCTTTCACAATGCATCAGTGTGTCAGTGAGAGATACTTTATTAATCCCAAAGTTAATACTACAGCAAAGAAAATGTATGTTTGCAAATTATACACATGCATTAGGAAAAGTTTTATAATATGAATTCGCAGTAATTTTGTGGTGACTTTAAAGATCATTTTCATTTTAAAATTGATCATAAACACTTCTCACTCTGAATATTTCACATGCACTGCTGTTTTTTGTACATATATGAAAGTAATGCTCTAATTTCATGTCCATCTGACAACATGTGCCAGTGTTGTGTGTAAGAGGAAGCAGTCAGACCACAGCGATGAGACACACTGGTTAGTATTTCTTTGTGGAAAATCTTGTGACTTCTTTCTCCATTTAGGATGAACTTGCAAAAAGCAGTGGAGAATTGATTTTGCACATGCTCAGTAACCTTGAAAATTTAGTATTTTTTCATTAAATTGTGTCAGCCAGCTCTATTATAGAACATAATACTGTGACGTAATATACTAAACAACTAAAATAGTTACTATTTATTAAGTCACAGAAGGTTTTAAGGAGTTTGGAATTAAAGCAAAAGGAATTTAATATCACCATTAACTCTGATTATGAACTGGAAATAGTTTTCATCTTATTCTGGAAAAACTCTGTGTTCCGCTTTGCCTTCAGAACAGTGTCGAACATATTATCTTCTGCTCAGTTGCTATTAGCACATATGTTTGTTCTTCAGCTGTTCAGTCTGTCCTTTCATAGGTATCCAGAACCATTTCATAGTAAAGTGCGTTTTCAGAAAATTGACTTTTCTGCTGATTTGCACAGACTTTGATCCCTCAGATCAGGTCAAGGGTTGCTGAATGCCATGAGGAAAGCAAGAGACATTCAGGCTTGTGTGTGTATGCTCAGGGGAAAGCTGGAGAGAGGAGGGTGATAAACAGACTGACCTCAATACTGAGACTTTCTAGTCTCTGCTCATCTTTTTATGGTAAAATGATTTTGTGCACATAAATGAAGCATAAAAACAGAAATGTTTTGTGTAATTCCTTTTATAAATACAATGGAATCAAACAAAATGCATTTCATTTCATTCTGTATCATATAAATACTACAGAAGGTAATATTGCTCTACATTTGAAATGTACAGGTGTTTACATTGTACACTGAAGTTTTCAATACAAAAAAAAAGCTGCATATCAGACATTAGTCTTGTTAAAAAAAAAAATATTCTATTCTAATATTAGGAATAAGGGAGGGAGGGAGGGAGAGAGAGAGAGAGAGAGAGAGAGAGACAGAGAGAGAGACAGAGAGAGAGACAGAGAGAGAGACAGACTACTAAAGCACTGACTGGGAAGGCCATGAAATGGATATTGATCTTTACAAACTTAAAGTTGCCTTGCAGAGTTGTTGGCCAGCAGATGGCGACAGCCGGAGTCAGTCTGCCCAGTCCAATACTCATTTTAGCACACCATTCAACTTGGCTTCAACATTTTGCCACCTTAAGGGCCGTATGAAGACTTTATGAGCACAAGTGATGTTTATTACTTTCTACATTAATCTCCAGAACACAGAACAGCATAAAACATAATGCTTATCAACTCAAGTTATAGGAGTTTAAAACGGCGCCTCATGTACGTTCAGGACATCCACTCGCCGAACAATCAGTACTCAATCGCAGCAATGTTAGCATCCTGCTACCCAAAACCCATTTGCTGTAAAAAAAAGGAAACATACAGGTGGTTTCTTAGCTTTTTTTAGTGAAATACATCCTCCTACTTTTTAAAATGAAAGGAAAGTTTAGCTGTTTAACTCCATTTACCCCCACTGACTGAGGACTTGCGCGCAGGTGGCCTTTTGCGTTTTGCAGTTCTGTTTTTGATAAAACGGGAGAAATAGGAAGAGGCCAGTCTCCTTATAGACCGGCTCCGATTTAGCCCCCTTAAGAGCCGTATCATGGCTGTATGAGCGCAAGTGACGTTTATTAAATGAGCCCTCAGAGAGGAGAGGGACCAAGTGAATGCAAGTGTCGACTTCAGCATCAACTCTGATGCAATTCCCCTTTTAGCACTGAAAAAAGAGCAGACAAAGCTGTTTATAAGCCACAGCAACAAAATACCATAAAATGCTTAACATTTCAAAGCTATAACATTGGTTTTGCTGTGTTTGGAATGGGATTTATTCAGCAAACTGCTTCATAACTGCTGATATGACTTCTTTATTGTGCTAGCTTGCTAGATAGTGAGCTAAAGACTTCACAGCTAGCAACAACAAAAAAGGGCACCACACCACAGTTTTAAACCAAAGCTTACATCCAGACAAAGTAGTTATCCTCAAAATGTATGTACATGATCTTCAGACTTCAGACTAAAAAGAAAAGGTTTCCATGGCTTGCTAATTAGTTCAGTGAAGACTGTGTGACGTATATGTGACCGCCTCCTTGTTTCTACGCTCATTGTCCATTTTATCAGCTCCACTTACTATATAGGAGCACTTTGTAGTTCTAAAGTTACAGACTGTAGTCCATCTGTTTCTCTGCATACTTTGTTAGCCCCCTTTTACCCTGTTCTTCAGTGGTCAGGACCCCCATGGACCCTCACAGAGCAGGTACTATTTGGGTGGTGGATCATTCTCGGTACTGCAGTAACACTGACGTGGTGGTGGTGTGTTAGTGTGTGTTTTTAAACACTGTCCACTCACTGTCCACTCTATTAGACACTCCTACTTTGTCAGTCCACCTTGTAGATGTAAAGTCAGAGACGATAGCTCATCTGCTGCTGCACAGTTTGTGTTGGTCATCCTCTAGTCCTTCATCAGTGGTCACAGGACACTGTTCGCTGGATATTTTTGGTTGGTGGACTATTCTCAGTCCAGCAGTGACACTGAGGTGTTTAAAAACTCCAGCAGCACTGCTGTGTCTGTTCCACTCAGACCAGCGCAACACACACTAACACACCACCACCACGTCAGTGTTACTGCAGTGCTGAGAATGATCCACCACCCAAATAGTACCTGCTCAGTGAGGGTCTATGGGGGTCCTGACCACTGAAGACCAGGGTAAAAGGGGGCTAACAAAGTATGCAGAGAAACATATGAATCGATGAATTTGTGAGTGCTTACAGGGGATTATATAACAAATATACACACAAAATGTACACAAATTAAAGGGCTGTTCTTTTTTGCTCAGCAGTGCTCTTCATCCCCCAATCGACAACAACTCTGCTTGGCACACTATTAAAATTTAAGGTGCCAAAAGGTCTCAAAAGTTCCCTTAAAGAACCTTTCAGCAACCTTTTTTGTAAATGAAATTTGAGCGTCAGGAACCTTATTAACTGCACATCCGAGCCAAGAACCATTCAGGAACTTTAATATTTAATGGTGCAGCTTTAGACATGACATCAATAGTAAGTGGACCACCACCATCACCTTTACCCACTGTGTGTTTTCAGTGGTGAAATCAGGCCAAGGAATACTACTCATGGGCTCGGGGTGAGGGGCTTTTGAGGGAGATTAGGGGAAGCTCTCACTGTAACCGTGTGAACGCTCTCCTCCTGGTGGAAAGTTCCCTCCAGGATCTCCTGGATGGCTGTCAGAACATTGTGGTTGAAGACCATGTCCAGGTGGGGCATGCCTTTGAATTCAGTCACGTACACCGGCTGCTCCTGCTGTCCTATCCAGCGCTTGCACATGCTCATGCTGCGGCTGTCCACCGTGTCATCTCCATCGTCGTACAGAAAGTCTATGGGGTCGGAGTTTGGGAATTCCTCGTCGTAGATGTAGGTGACCGGCGTGGGACGTCCGACGCCGTAGAAGCAGTAGACCTCCACCCCTGGCGTGGGGAGTCCAGCAGTGAGGTTGCGCGTGTCTTCCCACATGTACCAGCCGTCCTCGAAGTTGATGTCGGTGAAGAAGCGTTGGTAGTCCTGGTTGGTGTAGTTGAAGAACGGAGTGGAGATGAAGATGTGGTCTTTGGGCCACGCCTCCTCGGACGGGATCATCCACGGGTTCGTGGTGGTCATTCGCTGCTCCTCACGGATCTTGATGTTGGACACCAGCGGGATTCCATCATTGTCACCTGTGGAGCAGGGTTGGGAGGGTCACTTTAAAAAAAAAAACATTCTGGCACAGATTACTGAAATGTAATCGAATCCAAAAATGACTATATTAAAGTAATGTAATCTGATTACTTACCATTACTTTTGGATTATTTGTTTATTTAAAAGGTCATATCACTAAGTATATGGAAATACCAGAGAAAAACAGTTTCAGCAGGATTATACAAGATAAATGGAAATAAAAACAGAAACAATACAGGTGATGTACAATAGTCTGTGCTTTATGTGTGCTGTATGTCATCTGAAAGTGTTATTACATATTTTTGGTGGAGTTGATTAGGTATTCAAGAAAGCACAGTTTTGAATATGAAAATGAAATATTGGAATATTGTGCCTCTCAGCTTTATTTTGTTGTCAAACTGCCCTCACACGAGTGACGTAAATTTCTCAGCAAACCGTTTATACCTTTCTGTTGACATGAGTCTGAATGAATCTGACATGCATGCTACTGTATTTAGTTTGGTTCATTTCCTGTGACTTTCTGTATAGAGAAAGCTTTTCATCCCAACTTGAATTTAAATGTCGAACTTACACTTTTCCAACAGGAATACAGACCCTACATCACCGTTAAGAAAAGTGGAAGAAATGTGAAATTTAGCTCGGATCTAACAGTTATAAGTTAAAGTACCTCTAAATTCACGATTTAATGACATTAAAATGAATCAATGGATGTTAATCAATATTGTTAAATCAGTGTTAAATATTTTTATGAATTATTGTGATGCCCAGGAAACTACTAACAAAATGGCACAGGAAAGTTGACACTCAGTAAAAATGTGAAGATATATAATCATACATATTTATGTAAGTTGTAAACGCCCCCTTGCCACCCCAATTCTAAACCCCCGACACTCCCACCCCCCCACTACTCTGCACACTGTTTCTATGTTTTATGAGATGAGAATGTTCGCAGTATGTTCACAATATTTATTTTTTCTGACCGATGAGCTGGAATACACACACACACACACACACACACACACACAATCTAAGCCACTTATTCCTCTGCGTTGCGGTGGGTGCTGGAGCCAACCCCAGTGGTCATTGGGCGGAAGGCAGGAATTGCCTTCATTCGAGGAATATGTCATTAAATTTGAAATGTGAATAAAAACAGGACTAATAATCAGCGTTCTGACACTATCCAAGATATATGCAGGAAAGCTATGTGACGTAATGTGACATAATACTAAATACTGTCATATTGCCCAGCCCTAAATAAACACTCGAGATACTGAAAAGTAAAACATACTGACACATGGCATCACTTTGCTTGGGCCTTCTGGGTGGGTAATATATATTTCTGAGCAACAAAAAAAAAAAAAACAAGAACCATGTTCTTTCCATGGCATCTTAAATCTCAAGTGAATCTCGAGAGCTTCTTACAGACCATTATACTGGACAGAGAGCACCAGTGAAGTTCTCTGACAAATCAATAATTCTATCTGATGTGGGAGCTCAGTGAAGCTATGAGGTAAGAGGTCATGGATTTGATCCCATCTGATACCACCCTGCTACTGTCAGTGTGTGCTTCATAAACACAGCTGTTCTATGAGGTCTCTGAGTCACTTTAAGGAATAAGTATCAAGAGTTTCCAGTCCACTCCTCGAGACCCCACCAAATAATGTACACTATATGTCCAAAAATATCCAGACGCCCCTTCCAATGAGTAAATTCAGCTACTTTAAGGTGCACCCACTGCTGACACAGGTGTTAATCTCCATAGGAAAGTACTGCCAGTAGAACAAGATGGTCTGTGGCAGCAGCACACAGAGGTGTCACCATGGTCACCATGTCCAGTGCCAAGGTCACCATGTCCAGTGCCAAGCGTGGGCTAGAGGGATATAAAGCCCCCCAGCATTGGGCTGCGAAGCTGCATTTTCTGGAGGGATGGAGCTTCAGAACTGATCATCCAACATCAGCACCTGACCTCACAAGTGGCTGAATGCAATCAAATCCTCACAGCAATGTTCCAACATCTAGTGTAAAGCCTTCCCAGAAAAGTAGAGGCTGTTACTGCAGCAAAGGGGGACAAACTCACTATTAATACCCTTCATTTCAGAAGAAACGCATCTACCTCTTCGCCATCGGTGTATTTTAAAAGTAAAAACGTCAAAATTAATCTGCAGAAGTGATTCATAAACAATATATTATTCAATCCTATTTGAGATTCACAGCTCTTTGTTACCTCACTTAGGTGAGTTTAGGAGGTAGAGCAGAGTTAACAGATTGGACTGGCAGCCTCTGATCTAAACAGAGTGAATAATAACGTATTTTTCTTGTTACCTGATGCTAAAACCCTGAGTGGCTTCACGGCTCCAACCCACGGTGCTCCCAGCGAGATGAAGCTCTTAATGTAGCGGTCTTTCCAGGCCTGGCTCTGCTGGTTGAGGAAGTAGAGGATGTAGTTGCCGCCCATGCTGTGGCCCAGCAGATGGACTGGCTGCTTGTACTCGTCATGCATCTCCTCCACCAGACCCTTCAGTCGCGAGAAATATTCCTCCTGCTCATCTGGATCACACCGCATGCACACAGAAACAGGGCATGATGGGAGTGCACTGGGCAAGTTCAGCATAAAATCTACTGGGTGGATGATGTAAAGTTCACAATGCTTATATGTCACTATGATACAATGTCATGTTGCAGATAAAGCTGCAAATCAGAGAGATAAGCGAACCTGAACAACATGCAGCTGATCATTTTCATTAAGTCATTAAAGTGGGAGGAACAGGGGGCTGGGTGGGGGTTGATGAGAGCGTTAACTCACTTGGGGCAATCCTCCAGTCATACGGCGCTGCTCGAACGGTTTCGTTCCGCACATATCCAATGTTGACCATATGTTGAACCATGGTGTAAAAATAACCTACAAACAGATCAGCCTCAGCAATGAAAGAACAGACTTGAATACTGTTGTCTATAAAAATCAACAAAAGTATGTTGCATGGCTATAAACAGTATTAGCAGCCATCATGCCGCCTGAATTTTGTCTGTTGTCTGATGGTCCATTCTTGGAAAATTGCATAGATTTTGCTTTCTTTGAAAAATACTTTCGTCCAATTTTAAAGATACACTACAGTTTCAAAAGTTTGAAATCCTATTTCATTAAAAACAAAAAGGTACTTTTGATGTTTGATATTGTCAATATAAAAAAAGTGACATTAACATATTAACATTGCGTTCCCTCGCAAATGTTTTGCGTTCCCTCACAAAAAAATTGCATTCCCTCGCAAAATATATGCTCATCAGACAGCAAGCAAACGTAGGACCAGAGGTGCCCAACGACATTGCCTACGTTAGAGCTTTGTTTTTAGCATATTTAACGTTAAATGCTGTTTTCCCAGTTTCTCCAGTCTGTGCTGAGTTTATTCAGCTATTGTTCTCTGCAGTCTCTGTAAATGTAGCTTTTACTGTATGAGGACCCTCGATCTCAGTTTCAGTTGCGCTCACTAACAGCATAATCATGTTTGATTTGAGAAGCGACACGTCTTTATAGTCAAACCAAGATCAATGTAAAATTCAATGAGCTGCTTCAAGTCTGAGCTTAAGCAAAGCACAGCTTTTGCAAGCAAATGCAAACCCTTTGCATCATAATGCAAAACATTTGCCAAAGAATGCATTTTTTTGTGAGGGCAACGCAAAACATTTGCCAGGGAACACAATGTCCTTACATTTTTTCTTCTTTTTTTTTTAACCACGGCCCCTTAGGGGCTCCGTACATAAGAAATAATTGACTGCAATTAATAATTTATTTCTTTATTGGCCAATTCATCTGCCTCGAGATTTAACCACTACTTAAATATAAAATGCATACTGGATTTTTACTTAATATTCAAAAGACCAGTGTCCAGACTCATATTAAGATTTTTAACGGTAAACCATCAATGACATCATCTGTTCATCCTTCTAGATGATCTAAGATGATCACTACTTATTACCTACATTAGCCTCGTAGCTCCAGTGTAACACTAAACAAGCAAACTTCAGACACTCTGAAACAAACTGACCCCAACCTGGGTACACAACAGCAACAGTCCACTCACCTGCCAACTTGTTATTGTCCAGGAACTCTACGGTGTACGTTTGGCCAAAGCCAGGGGCTCGGACTTCAACCCCTGGAGCGTTGGAGGTCTTGCGAGTCGTCCGATTGTACACAATCCTACAGTGAGAGCAGAAGCAAGTGGTGAGTCATTTCATTCCAGCCGTACTAACAGCTGGAGTCCATTTGTCGTCATCATGTTAGCTGCTTGAGAACTGTCCAAAAACAACAGACAAAAGGTTAATTACTTAATCCTTTGGAGGGCGGCCATAAAAGCTGATGCCAGGGCACTTACCACCATAGTGTCAAGCTTTAGGAGGCACTAGTCAATAAAGCAGGAATGGGGCCTATTTACTTATGAACTGTGAGTTATAGAGCTGATTTAATTAATATAGAAGAGGCCCAGTTTTATGGACAATGGTTGGTTTCCTAGAACAAGATTGAGCCTAAACTTAGACTAATAGGGAATCTTTAATCTTAAAATGCCATCAAGACTGCAGTTTAATCCAGGTTCACAAATCTGGCCCTACAATAAAGTGGAAATTAACCACTGGAAGGCCTTTTAGTCTAGGCTCAAATGTACTTCTATTGACCCATTCATCATGAAATGTCCACACAATGTAAAGGGCAGCTGGTGTTATGAAATGGTTTAGCAAAAGTTTAAAAATAAAAAGAAGAAGTTGTTGCGCAATCTTCATAGGACAGTGAAGATAAATTAAGCGACTACAGGGAGGAGTTTAGGAGAACCACAGCCAGTCAGAAACATTTGACCAACAGGGATGTTGTTTTGCAGGGAAATGAGGGCAAAATGGTACAGCTAAAAGTCAGCTCAAGCGGGGTGCTTGAGCTTCCCTCCATTATGAAAGAATGTGGTGCCGTCATGGGGTTGTTATGGACCATCCAGATGAAAAACCACCTGGCTTGCATTATCCTTGCTCAGCTAAATTGGTAGATTCTGTTCCTTACAGAAACACTTTAGAATAAGTAAAAAAAAGATTGAAATTGCAAATTCATCAAAATAATACTTCATAAAAGTTCATCCCCACCATGTACTTGAGATGAGTTGAGTGCTTCTCTTTACCGTATATTATCAATCCAGCAGTCGACACCAATAGGCATGAACATGTTGAGGTCGATCCACAGGGGGAACCAGTCCTCAGTCTTCTTGTAGCACAACCAGTGGACCAGTGTGGGCTTGTCTATCTTGGCTTCAAGGCGGTTTCCCAAATGCCCAGGTACTAAAACAGCAATGTCAAGGAGAGAAAAAAAGTACAGTGAATGTTAATGTAGAAATGAGTAAAAGTATTTAAAATAATAATAAAAAAAAGAGTACAAAGTAAAAAGTAGAGTTAAAGTGAGGTGCTTTCAAATTCCATGAGCTTTCTCACAGACATCTGTGGAGAAAAATGTACTGGGGGACAGCTGTAGGAAAACATGTCCAGCAATGCCACCAAACTACGTCCATCAATAGCACCAAAGTTTGGCCAGCAAGGCACCCAACCATGGTCATGAATGCCACCAAACTATGGCCAGCAATGATACCAAACTATGGCCATCAATGGCACATAACTATCCAAACTATGGCCATGAATGCCACCAAACTATAGGCAGCAATGATACCAAACTATGGCCATCAATGGCACCTAACTATCCAAATTATGGCCATGAATGCCACCAAACTATGGCCATCAATGGCACCTAACTATCCAAACTATGGCCATGAATGCCACCAAACTATAGGCAGCAATGATACCAAACCATGGCCATCAATGGCACCTAACTATCCAAATTATGGCCATGAATGCCACCAAACTATGGCCATCAGTGGCACCCGACTATGTACAGCAACAGCACCAAACTATGGCCATGAATGCCACCAAACTATGGCCAGCAACCACACCAAATTACAGCCATTAATGGCACCAAACTAAGGAGATCGATCCCACCAATGGCCATCAATGCCATCGAGCTAAGGCCAGCAATGGCACCAAACTACGTTCAGCAATGCTCCCATGTTTAGCGCTGTTATCAAACCATCATAACTCCAGATCAGAGGGGTTTCGCTCACCTATGATTACCGGTGGTGTGCTGTTGCCCGGGACTCTTGGTTTGGCTGTAGGAGGGAAGATCACGTTCAGAAGCCAGAAAGCCGCACATTGATGAAGCGCAATTAAAACGACGATCACGGAGCTCAGAGCGCGGCACGCCTGCATGGTTCCCCCTCAGTGTGGATCTCCGTTCACGGACTGGACTTTCCTTCTCTCTCTCTCTCTCCAGAGCCCGGAGGAGTGCAGGCGTTTTAATGCTGCTCTCCGGCGAGGGAGCGCCAGGGGGCGGTGAGGTCGGCGCAGCAGGTAAATATGAGCCAGTATTACAGCCTGGCAGGACACAGCGGGGGTCACTCTTCAAACATATGCGTGTCTTATCTTCTTTTTCTTCATTTTTATTTTAAATATTTGGCTCATATGATCTCAGAAACCCAGATGATCCAGTTGGCACATAATTATATGTTATATAATCACGTGTGATCCAATATAATTATAGAAAAAAAACGGCCCTTTACCTCTCTATTTTCTCATTTTTTCAGGCACAAACACCCATTAACTCACCCCCACATATACATGCACGTTTTATTTAAACTGCTATTGTAGTTAAATCCTGCCTAAACCAACCCTAACTGTAGCCAGGAATAAAATACTTTGGGCTATTTTACTTTTTTCATGAGGGCTGCAGGTTTTGTTAAATAAAAAATAAATCACACACACACACACACACACACACACACACACACACACACACACGCTGAAACACCGTGTCCAGTGACCTATTGATCCTAAGCTGTTTGCATCATAGTGCTTGTGAAGTCAATAATTCACAAAATAAATTAAATAGTGCTTTTTAATACTTTTTTAAGCAACATCATAGATGCATTTCCTTTAAGCACTAACGTTGGTAAGTGTTTTTCATTAATCTTCAATCATTTAATTAGACCTTATTATTATATTTCCCTGTATTGCGTGTTGTAGTACTCGTTTTAACACTTGAGTTGAAGTTGAATCAGTTGTGCAGGACAAGAAATCCAATCTAAGGAAGGACTGCATTAGTAAAACGCTCACATTAAAGCGCTCCTGGTTATTAAACCCATCTCCCAGCTAAGTACAGGAGTGTATGCAGTCTAGTCTTCATCTCTGTAGGAGGAGCGGAGGGCTGCTTTCCACTGTGATCTCTGGAATGATCTACCAGCCAATCCAAGCGGAGGAGGAGACAATCACAGCCAATCACAGCGCTGGAGGGGCGGGCCTTGGAATACAGCGTTAGGGACTGGTTCGGATGCCACGACGCCTTCAGCAGTGCGCTTGTCGCTATGGAAACCATGTAAACGGGCCCCCTCCCCCCCAAGCTTGTAAGGTAAGCCGTTCATGCTAATCGCATTTTTATCCTAAAACTTTCTATTAAAATGGAAACTTTCACAGTAAAACCAGGACAATAAGATGTGAATGTCGGGTTTATTCGCAGAAAAAACAAAACAAAAAGGCTCCTGAAACTCATGAAAGCCATGAATCGGTTATCAAAAACTGTAATATTGATTAAAATAGAGCTCATTAATTATTCTAGGAGGCTGTGACAGCATACAGTCAACGCAGTACCGACTACTGTCTCCTCTACGTCGCCACAACCTCCTAGAAAGTTGTCAAGACGACGTTGTCATAACTTTACATTTACGAGGAATTACATTTCAACGCTGTGACCATGCAGAGAGCACCGAGCAGACGATGTTGTGGGCACGAAAACAGTACGTTGTCACGACATAACTGTGTTTGCAGGGCCGTTAGGGATAAAACCTGATGGTTTTGCTTCCTAACGGGAATTGGCTTGATGGTTGCCGTTAGAGGCCATTAGGAAACGATCAAATGCATGTGGAATCAGTCCCAGAACACCTGATCAAACGATCAAACCTGATCAAACGATCAAACACCCGATTAAACGATCAGAATCCTTTACACTGTGATATCAACCCATCAGGAAAACACAGAATACCATTAGCCACTACTGTAAACCACCAGGAACCAACAGACACTTTTAATGGGGTTCTATGACTTTTTTCAACAGGGAGGTACATTAAGTGTAACTCTCTAGCTGTGTTATGGATGAAAAATGGATGAAGTGATGATGTCGCTAAGCAACAGCAGCCAAAAGTTACCGTGCTGTTGGGCTGCTTCTGCCATTGTGGCAGAGAGTGCATGTGCACGTGACGTCACTGGGGCTGAGAGTGCATCTGGCTGAGAGTGCATGTCTGCAGCCAGACTCTCTCTATTGGAAATTAAAGGGGAGCTCCACCGATTTTTTTCGAAAATGTCTGCATAACACAGCCTCTGAGATGTAAACAGAGTCATTCAGAGTGGTTTGATGTGAAAAGGTTCATTTGTAGAGAAACGTACAGACTCGGATGTCTTTACAGTGGTGGTGATAGGAACCAGGGGTCGCCATGTCTACAACACAGATATAGCCATTTTATTTCACTGTCCAAAACCACCAGTGAAACTACACAAGTCTTCTGTTTTTCTGAAATGTTGATGATGGTAAAATAGAGGTGAATCTGAAAAAATAAAGTTTTATTTGGGGATTATTTTGTACGGAGCCCTGATGATGACATCCTGTATAAATAAAAATAATGCGTGGCCACACCTTATTAACGCGTGGGAACGAGATCGTAATGCAAGGTCACGACTTACTAAGGCGTGGGAATGAGATGATTAAGTCGTGGCCATGACCTAGTGAGGCAACGAGATCACGGCTTACTAAGTCGCATTAGGATCTCGTTCCCACGCTTTACTAAGTTGTAGCCATGACTTAATCATCTCATTCCCACGCCTTACTAAGTCGTGGCCATGCATTATTTTTATTTATACCGGATGTCACCAGCAGGGCTCCATAATTTTGCTTTAAAATACCCTTTGAATGTCCAGCATGAATACATAAAAATAACCTCATTACGTTTTCAGTTACAAAACTTTATCAGAAAACTACCGTAAAAAAATGTGTCAGACATCAGGCAGCGTGTTCATAACGATGCTGTAAACCTCGTATCTCCATTTTTGACGTTTTTCAGTTTTTGACATAATTTGAAAATGCCTGTTGCCTGTTTGATTGTGTGTAAATTTCATGATGAAAGGACCAAAAGAAACGGCCCAAAATGACTTGGAAATAATTCTGGTCCATTGACTTACATTGAAAGTAAAGTATATTTTTTCCTTCTCCTGTAAAGTTACCATTTTGGAGATGTTCTTCCGACAACAGCAATAACCATGTCATCTAATAACTTTCTGTGAGGGAGCTTTTAGAGGTGGACGTCTGGTTCCTATCACCACCACTGTGAACAATTCTGACTCGGTTAGTTTCTCTAGAACGGAGCGTTTCACACCAAACCGCTCTGAATGACTTTGTTTAAATGTTATCCATTTAATTATGTAGAAATTTTGAAAAAACGGTGGAGTTTCCGCTTTAACCTACTTTGGCTCAGAAACGTAAAAGAGCAAACTGTCTTGTTTTTGTCAGCTTACTTTGTGTAAAGTGTAAATGTTGATGGTATACGTAGGGAGGAATGGGGAAATAATTTCCACATATATACATATGCATATACATACAGACAGACATAAATAACTGAGGTGCAACTAGGATTAGGTGTATGCACACTGTGCGTACAGGCCAACAGATTCTAAAATTTTCAGAGGAAATAAGATTCTAACATATTTTTTAATTTGACAGACATATTTTGTCTCATGTTCTTAGAGTAAAAAGATTCTGTAACATTTAGTTTCTAGATGTCACTGGATTATTTCTCCTATTAATAAAGTTCAGTGATCTTAGTTAATGACATAACATAATATTGGCCTTGCGATGGGAAAGTCAGTTTAGTTTCGATGGGAAAAGTCTGAGATGAGATTGATCAGCACATATTTTTCAACCTGTAGCATCCAAAGAAGGTTTTACTCCACGATACCATAAATATAGCATTAATATAGCATTTTACCCATGAGTTGTGAATTTTATATATACAGTGCAAATGTTTTAGGCACCTGGAGAAAATTAGAGTCAAAAACCATTTGTCCTGTTAGTAAGCATTTCCTCAGAGAAGCACTAAAATTAGAATAAATAGAAATTATATTAATACAATAAGTACTGATTTTATGTGTGTGTTTGTTTAACCAATTCCAAAGTGTCAGTCCACTCGTATTTGTAGTCCAATCAATTTGGTTAATCAATACTTCTTCAACGACTTTTTTGAAAGTCATCATTCTTTTTGCTCTATTTATATTTATTTGCAGTTGCGTGCAAAAGTTTGGGTACCCCGGTCAAAGGAATCATTTGTTGATTTTCTAAGTGAAAGTAAGTCAACACATCCTCTACAGGGGACACATATTTTGTTTGAATTTGATTAATTTAATAGAATAGAAATAATAGAAAAAAAATACAAAATGTGGCTTGGGCAAAAGTTATGGCATGTTTTATATTGATTTCCACCCTCAATATGTTAAACTCTATTTACTAAAGTAAACAATATGTTAAACTCTAATTATTTACTAAAGTAAATAGTTGTGCACTACAATTTGCAGAAAAATGCCATATTTGAGTGTGTTCTCCACAGAGGATGTGTTAAATTATTTTAGCTGAGAAAATCAACAAAACATGTAATTCGACCAGTTCAAACTTTGGCATAAGAGTAAAAACATATTGGTTTTAAATGAAATAATGTACTTAGGTGGAACTTTGCACAGTACTCTGTGTCTAAATCACAAAAAAAGAAATGCATGAACATTTCAGTTCTTTATTGTTGACAATGTAGTGTTCACAATAAAGCGGGTGTTTTTGGCTCCAGTTGTGGAGACCCGCTGCTTGCCACAGTTTGGTTCGGTTGTTTTTTTGCACAGCTTTGTTCTAGTTTCATTTTTTTTATTAAAGTCTTTGTGAGTTGAAGCAGGTGTGTTGGAAAACATAAAAACATGAAAACATGAAAAACATGAATCCGCAGGATGGTGGGTCCCCTGGACCGGAACGTTTGCCTTGTTTTTCATTCCTTTTTAGATGGAGGTGCTGCTGGAGGTCGAGCCTGAGTTGGAAGAAGCTGAGCTGCTGCAGGAGGTGGATGAGAAGGAGGAGGAGGAGGAGGGAGGAGAGGATGAAGGCCTGAGCGAGTTACGGGAACTGGAAGAGACGCTGTCCAGAGTGCGGATAGCCCCTTCAGCACCCCACCTGTGAGGTTACTAAAGTTCGTCGGCATGTGGTAAACTCTGTGCTCGTGTTAAAGTGGGCCATTATCACGGTTACGCCAGACGATGCTCCGAGCCC